TTAAGTAAGAGTATCGTGGCTGATATTGTATGGAGATACAACGATGAATTAGTATTAGAAATAACAAAGGATACGTGTATAAGCGTCATCAAATTTACTATAGGCAAACTTTATGGAAACATTTAATCATTGTCTCCTTTTCCTTTTCTAATATATTAATATTTTATTGACCGGTATTATAACGAAATACATCTACCGATCTAACGTCGTTTTGATTTCATCAAACGTAATCGAATAATAACCTAAAAATAACGATATTTTACCGGTATCTGTAATACCGATTCGGTTTAAACAGTTTGTTCAAGTGTCGAGATGAATTTGAAACAAAAAAAAAAAAAAAAGATAGGGAAAATCGAATTTAATCGCGAGTTTGATTGCTTTAACGAGGGAGAGACTCGTCGAATTGAAAAGGACGACGTCTTTCCGCCTATTTTTCCCCTCAGGGAGAATTATCTTTTTCGAACGTCTTCCAGCAAGGCTGGGAAGGAACGCCGCGGAAAGATTTTACCGAGGTGGGGATAGGAGGCTTCCGTCGCCGGGCCTTTCAGCAACAAATTAAGGATTTTAAGCCGAAAGTAATTAGTCCTGGCGAACAAGGTGTCACTCTGTGAAAACGAGGAGACGGCGAGTCAGCCTTCATTGTTCTCGCCATAATCCCCGGGGAGAACGTTCATAAGTTCCTTCTTCTCTCCGGTCTTCGGCGAAGAAAGAGGCTGGAAAGGATGATTTCGCTTTCCGGCCAGATTAATCGCCCTATCGACCGTCTCCTTTCTTTTTTTTTTCCCTCCCGCCATCCCCCTTTTTCGTTTTCTCTCGTCTGGTTTCTGCGAACAACGTATCTCGGAGCTTCGGAAGAAGACATGTAAAAAAAAGTATACTAAACACTGTACTGAAAGACGTGTGAAACATACAAAAGAACGTGTAATAAAGTGTATAAAAATAAATATAATATAAAAATAATGTAATATAATATAAGTGTATAAGTATAAAAATAGTATAATAAATAATATAATATGAGTGTGATATAAAAATAATATAATATAATATAAGTGTAAAATATAAGAATAATATAATATAATATATGTAAGTATGTTATATAAATGTATAATATAAAAATAATATAATATAATATAAATGTAAAATATAAGAATAATATAATATATGTAAGTGTGTAATATAAATGTATAATATAAAAATAATATAATATATGTAAGTGTATAATATAAAAATGATATAATATATGTAGGTATATAATATAAGTGCATAATACAAAAATAATATAATATAATGTATGTAAGTGTATAATATAATATACATTTATATTATATTATATTATATTATATTATAATATAAAAATAATATAATATAATATATGTAAGTATATAATATAAAAATAATATAATATAATGTATGTAAGTGTATAATATAAAAATAATATAATATAATGTATGTAAGTGTATAATATAAAAATAATATAATATAATGTATGTAAGTGTAATATAAATGTATAATATAAAAATAATATAATATAATATATATAGGTATATAATATAAGTGCATAATACAAAAATAATATAATATAATGTATATAAGTGTATAATATAAAAATAATATAATATAATATATGTAAGTGTATAATATAAAAATATAATACAAGAACTAAAAGTGCACAGTACAAAAACCGTGCGCGTGTATTTCAGTACGACTTGTAAAATTTGCCTCCTCCTCGATCGCCTCAAGTTAAAAGCTGGTAAAAAATCACGAAGAACAAGGGAATCCTGGAGAATCGTTGCAACTGGTTAGGCGCGGAAGAATCGCGATCAATTACTGTGAGACTGAAAACTGGATTACCGGATACGAATCTCTCTCTCTCTCTCTCTCTCTCTCTCTCTCTCTCTCTCTCTCTCTCTACATTGTCCTCTGTCTCCTGTAGAGCGGCTGAACCTGACGCGATAATCTTATTTAGCCTTTCTACTCTGCCAAATGGATTATTTCGGCCAGCGATGAAAGCGCTCCTGTTCAAAAATCGCGGATCCTCTTTAGTTACTTCGCCGACGCAGTTAGTTAATTAAAAGGTAAAGAGAGGGGGAGAGGAAACCAGGCGGCGATAGATTGAAGGGGGAGAAGGGGGACGAAGAGGGAGAAGGCTGGCCAGACAGCATGGGATTTGTATCCCGATCGCGGGCGCGGCGTACAACCCTTTCCGCTTCGAACTGCTGCGATTGCGTCGGGACGGCCGATGTTTGCGCCGCTTTATTTGCGATTTCAACGTGGCCGAGGTTAACTCGAAATGTGTTCGTCTATTCAGCGAAGTTATTACTATTGACTTTGCCTTTAAAGCCGATGGAATCTAATTTAAGGGGGTATTCTAGTGTGAACTTTTGAAAAAATCAATTTTTTTTCTTTTTTTTTTTGCATGTTCTTAAAAGATATAGTTTCAAAACTAAATCTTTGTAACCTTACGTGTGAACTAAGGTTACAGAGATTTATTTTTTAAATAACGAAATTATGGTTGAAAGACGCGACGACCAGAGTCATTGTTACCGCAATACTAAACTTTAAAGGCATTTTTCTGGAAACTATGTTTTTCCGAACGTTGTTCACGATATCTCAAAGTCTACTTGACCAATTGACTCAAAATTTTAAGTGCGCATTTAGTACATGTGTGACTATAGCCCCTACCAGAATCGACCAAAAAATTTTATTTTTTATATTTCTTTTAGGCTTCCGAAGTTTAATAAAAACATGCAAAAATCGAACTTCAAAGTATCGCCACTTTTTTAATTACCGATTTTTTTCTTTCGTTTTGGTATGGCCAAATTCATACTAATTAAGGAACATTCACGTTTCTTCATTTCCGACAAGCAGAATGGCCACCGTCAGACGACCTTTTTTAAAAGCGGCTATGATTGTATGAGAGTATGCAGTGCCACCGATTTTACAAGTTTTTGTCTCAAAAAATTTCAAAACGTTGTTGAAATACGTACAAATAAACCTTGTCAATTTGAAAAAAAGGTTTAATAGTTTCTTTGCAAAAAATTCCCTAACAAAGTTAAGAAAACATGTACTTCACACTAGAATGCTTCCTTAAACGAGCGACTTTGCGAGTTTTAAAGAAAAATTGACTCATCAATGTCTAATTTTGTCGAAATTCCGTGAAATTTCGCTTCGTTTTTAAATAGCGATTTTAATCGCGCGAATCTGAAATCATCAAAAATTAATTTATCATGTTCGTTCGCTAATATACAAGTTCCATAATTTTCTTAAATATTCCTCTATCGTATCGTTTCAAGCAGCTCTCCTCGAGTTAACATTGACTAACGTTACATTTTGTCATTTTATTCGACGATTAACAATCATTTTACAACATTTAAAAAGAAATAGCACTCGCGAAGAATATGGCTGTCGTGCGACAACCCTTCGAGAACGACACCCCCCTCGAAGGCTACAGTCGAGCTGCTTAACCGTGAATTTTACCCTCCCTAAAACTCAACAAGAATCTCGCGAGGAGCCCGCAAACTGTACCTCCCAGTAATGTATGCGGAAACCTGACAAAGGAACACATTAACATTTATATTTGCGAAGACGCGGGTCCGATCGCGAGTCCCCGATATTCCTACGACTTCCGTTATGGAATTGCTAATGATAAAACCCGACAGAAGGGCTGGAACGCTTATTTTATGGATGTAACAAGACGAGTTGGGCTTATTGGGCTGGGAGAAAATATTCGATGCGTCGAACCGCGAATTTTTCGGAAGGGAGAACGAACAGGAGGGGATGGGGGTGTAACGCAATCATTTAGAAGACTGTAATCGAATTCCGTTCGCTATTTTCGCGGACCATGCTCGGTTACATGGCTCGATAATGGCTTCAGCGGGGAACTGTTGGCCAACGGAAAACAGCCTCGAATTAAATTACCTTGCGTAGAGACGTTAACGATGATAAAGTTCCGAGTGAGTGAAAACTTCCGACGGACCATGATAAATGTCGGATATTCCGCGTGAAACGAAGAAACGGAATTAATTAACTTTAATTAACTAACGAAAAACTTAAGATTAATTTAAGTCGTATCTCGCAACTTCTTTTTTTTTTTTCTTTAAGTCTCCTTGTACGAAGGAACAGATAAGAATGGATTAAAAATAAAAGGAACCTGAAGGAGGTTAACAAAAGTTATCCCGCGTCACACAACCTCGAAAAATTTCGTGCGAGGGCTCGGATTGCACGCGCGCGTGCAGATGCATCGGAACGAGAGTCGAGAATACGAGAGGGAAGAGAATAGAAAAAAGAAATAGCAAGGCCCCGACGTCGAAAAATAAGCGGCTGGCTCGAGGGGTGGTGCGTTTATAAGCCACGGGCTTTTTTGTAGTGCAAATGAATAGGTCCGACCCTCGTTCGTCATGGGGAACCGAGTGTCCGAAACTTTTGCAATTTTACGCGGCGGCTGTTCGGCTGCGTTCATTTTCCTGAAAAATTTAAACTCCCTTTTCCACCCTTTCACTCTCCACATACGTGAGCGTCTGCTTTTTTCCCTTTTTCTTCTTTTCCAATTACAAAACGAAACGAAAAAAATCGAGATTGAGAGGAGGTCGCGCGTTCGATGAAAACTCGACGACGCTCGCTGCGCTACGCGTTTTGTTCCCTCCGGGAAAGCCAGATCGTATCGCTAGGGATAATCCCAACGGAGGCGAATAAGACAGCGGAAAGACGCGGAGGATACTCCTACGTCGATGAGCTGCGAATCTATTTGGCGGCTTATCTTTTAAACGGAGCATCCAGATAAAGAGAGAACGTCTCATCCATATCAATGCAGAGACGATGGAACGCCACACCCTCGAACCGATCACGTACAAACTCGTCTCTCCCCTGGTTTTTCCTCCCTTTCGCCTTTGGGAATCGCTCCGGCTCTTTGTTTGCTTTCGATTTCAATTAAACAGCCGCTATTCTTTTGCCACTGATTCCAAGTTCTCTTGACTGGGAACAGGATTGAAGAACAACGAGGGTCTTGCTAGAATCTTTATTACAAATTTCAACTTGCTAGAATAACGAGGATAGTTAGTCTTATCGAATATACGGTGAATGAAAACAATAATGTGAAAACGTCTTAACAATTAAGCACGACATATCGCGTCTGTACCTTTATGTTATTTATAACTGGTTCGTAGATTTCGCTGACAATACAATCGGTAAATAATGTTGTACATGTAATTGCTCAACAATTGTGTAAAAGAATATCCATCCAAATAATTAAGGGATTAAATTTCAGGTATCAAGTATAGGGAGTGATGTTTATTTTATTTTAAAATGGTAATAATTATTTTAAATAAAAGTATACGTAACATGTAATATGTGCAAGTTAAAGTATAGAAACTAACAGATTTTTATAATTCTCCCTAATTTATAAGTATAATCCCCTAATTACTTTGATTTCAATTATGATAAAACTGAAGCGAAACATCACGCGTATCCCTGATGCAATTAGGCACTTATTTCAATTGACTGGTATATCTGTCGCATTACTGCAATGGAAGTCAAAATGAAAGTATTATCAGAAAACACGATTCATTGCTATTCTATAAAATGTATATGAAGGAAGCATAAGTTTTTTCAGTGAAGAGAGTCACATATAAAGCGTGAAATCTGCGATTATATAAAAATTCATATCTAAAAATCTAGTAAATTTTAGGCCCTCGATTAATAGACAATATTTATTATAAACTATAAGAAGCGCTTTATGTACATAACCTCTGCTTAAAATAAATTTCATGCGTATCTAGGAAGACACGTAAAATCTTTGCTTAAGAAATATAGAATTACCAACAATAAAAACGTTCATCATTTGGGAATAATAAATATATCCTCTTGTATTACTACACTGGTTTATAAGGCACTACGATCGTTTGTTTCTCTTGTAACTGTCGAGTATAAATAATTTCTCTTTCGGTGATTACGCAGAATGAAGAGAAAACCAGTCGACATTTCGCAAAACACGAAAGCATAAGGCAACCTTTTACGTGTACATATTTCTTTCCGGTAATATTAATTTTACTGTGGCAGTAATGTCAAATATGAGACCTGAAAATTATTTTGAATTTTCGAATTTTTAAATCTTTAGATACAATTGTATTTTCACGGCAATATCATTTCTGTAAACTTGGCAAGACTGATATTCTATATCAACAAGTTGAATGATAATTTCCAAATACAAACTTTGCATAATCACAGCATGTATAATTATTCGACGAAGCTAATTTCTGTAAAATATAATTGTTAAATATACTTCCAGGAGGTTGTAAAATTTCGCTGCAATGACTTTATCTTGAAACCAATCAATATATGCAAAATTCCTTATATGTACACATCTGTCTCATATATATAACTAGTAAATACTTTATATTTAGGAACTACGGACTAATAATATCATTTGTGCATTTAAAATTTTCCGTGTAAACTTACAAGTAATAATTCTAACAAACGACACAGGTATTTCATTTGATTTTAAATACTTAGTAGCTCTACTTTCATTGACCATTGTTATACTACAGCAGCTATGTTCAATAATTATTTTACCCTGCATAAAATTAACCATTCACAAACAAACCAATTCCAATATGGTAGACAATTTAGTTACTGCCCCTTCTTTTCCATTTGATTATTACTTTCTCGATGTTTTAATATAGCTTGCCATATCCTCAATTCAGTTCCTCCTCTAAATAAATAAAATATTTATTAAAGGATCACAATGCATAATCTAAAGAAATTTACACTTACCGGAGATTAAGTCTGCGAATGTCTTCACGTGTAACATGATTTAAAATATTATCCAGTGTGTACTGCTCGTATAAGAACTATAAAAAATGATATCAATCAGTATAATTTTTTATTCGTTAGAATAAAAAGATCGATATAAATTCTAATATTTACTCGGTCGATCGACATTTCATCTATCTGAAGACTTTGTAACCATTCAATAAGAGCCTGGTCGTTACACGAAGTTGTGCTAGTAGATGTATTGCTAACAATCAATGAGATTGGCTGTTGCACTGTGTTTCCAGATACTGATGAATTATATCTATAACAAGAACCCACGCAAATTACAAGCATATCTCTCAAATTAGAATTACAATGGTAAAGTCATACCCTGATTCTTGTCTTGTAGTCCGTCTATTTATATTTTCGCAAAGTCGTGTTAAAGCATTAACTTGAGCGCTTTGTTCTTCAAGAATTTGTTGCAATAAAGTTTGATACGACTTCTGATTTTCAATCAGTTCCTGTAATAATCTCAAATTCTCCATTTTTAAAGCCCCCATTTGATCTCGATATTCTTTCCAATATTTATTATCCAGAGAGTCACCGGTTTTCTGCGATTTTACAGAATTCACAGTCGATACACCGGATGTAGATCCTTCTTCTGGACCTTGACCACCGGATTGCATGCGTTCTTGACCGAGTAAATTAGCTCCAAGTTCTGTAAAAAAAAATGCATTAAATAGTTTCAATAGGTTAATGTGTCATTTTAAAAATATTATTTTACATAAAATATGATGACAGTATTACCAGGAGAAAGTACAGTGATGGCAGCTTGTACAGCATTTCTCACTAAATTATCCAGTGCAAACATCCAATGAGGCTTTATACTATGCATTCGTAGAACCTCGTTTACTGCCGTTTGAAACAGATAAATAGCTAAATTGAGATGATTAATAGCAGTGGAATCAAAGTCTAACTCTTCTTTCAATGTTCTAATGGCTGTCACGATTACTTCTTGATTTTGTTCTGCGATATAATCTCTCAAAGCTCGCATTAATAATATTAAGTGGTTCTGAAAAAGTAAAAGGTATGCATTATTTAAAATACGAAATTCATACCCATGAAAATTTAAAAATAATTACCATTTGCAAAACAGTTTGACCCTCTGCTTGATGTATACCTCGCATCCATACTTCGCAGATTTTTGCCTCATCTTGCGTAAGAACTCTAGTTAATGTCATTCTTCTTTGACTATCTTTTTTCAGCAGATAAAAACCCTCTTGTTCTTCGCCAGTTTTGTGACCAGATTGACCTTTAATATTAATATTAAAAGACATTAAAGTTAAATATTCCTCAAACCTATTGCAAAATTGATTGCAATTGTTCACCTCCTAATTCAACTTCTGGTGACAATAAACCGCCAGAGGAACTTCTTCTAGTCATTGAAGCCCCAGCTGTGTCACTTTCACTTGTTTCTATAGATGGTGTATTTCCTATTGCACTGAAAATACAATAAACTGATGTTATTCCCAAACGCTATTTATATCTATGTAATTATGCTTTGAAGCTTGCACTATACATATTTTGTCACAAAAACAAAAATATTTCCTGAAAGATGTTCTGCTTAAAAATAAACCTGAATACATAGAGTAATCATTGAAACTATGAATATATTCTCACTGTGTATTTCAAACATATTTCAATTTTAAGAGCTTGAGGTTGAAAAGCATATGAATAGTGTTACATAAGTCGTTTTGAACAAATTTCCATTGAACTTGTTTAGTACATCAAGCTTCAATTCACAATATCATTAGTTTGGAACTAGTGTAAGGAAAATTAAAATAACATAGGGATCTTAGTCTTCCTTCTTGCTAGTGAAAAATATACAATTAAACAAAAAGCACCATTACCAATAACATATAAACGTTTAGCAACATGAAGCATCACAAGTATTAATGAATAAACTAACCATTGTTAATTACTTGTATTAGGATAAATTTTGCAGTTTTTTTCTCGATAATAAGTAATTGTTATCATTTGTTATCTTTTTTACAAACAGCTATAATCATCTATAATGTTAGTACCATACCTGTTAAAAGAAAGGGTTGCAGTAGGCATTCTAATGGGAGACAGAAGATGTGCTGGACTGCGCTCCCTCAGTGGGCTTGACTTTGTCAGCCCTCCACTATATGTAACACTTTTTGATTATATTTCATCATCAATGAAAATATTTTAGAAATATAATGACAAGTAAAAATTAAAAAATAGAAATTAAACGTCTTCAAATATATTGCGTACAATGTATTCAGATTTATTAACCGAAAGAAAACTATTTATCAGTTATATTGTAACTGTATACGCTTCTTTAAAATATATTTGCACATAAAAATTGCTTTCAACAAGACAACAAATATTCATGAATAAACTAAAACGACACAAATATTTGCATATAACCACATTAAAATAACATATTTACATTACCTATCATCTGATTGTGAAGTTTGAATAGGAGAAGCAGAAACAATATGATTATTATTCGATTTATCAGATTTTCCTAAGCGTTCAAGTCTGTCAGCAGGTACTGAAATGCTTCTACTAAAATCAGGTACGGCGGCCAATCGATTGGTTTTCTTTTTTCTACGCATATAAAACGCAATATTATTCACTTATATAATGAGTTATTTATATATGTATTTACCACGTACTCATTTAAAAATGGATCTTCTAATAATTCCGCTGCAGTCGCTCTTATGTCAGGATTAGGTTCGAAACAGCGCAATATAAAATTCTTTGCTCTTTCAGATAATTCTGATGGTATTTCAGGATGTATTTTATAATATCCAACCTGTTAAAATAAACTTCTTAAATATATCTACAATTGCTTTAATCAAAATTATTTTAAAATATTTTACCTTAAAAACTGCAGCTTGAGGAGAACCTAATTCAATGAACGGTGGTTTACCAGTCGCCATCTCAACTATTGTACAACCCAGGGACCAAATATCTGCCTACATCGCATACCATAATATAATAATTTTCTTTCACAAATAAGAAATAATATAACTTACAGGAGCCCCATATCCACGCTGCCCTTTATCGATAACTTCCGGTGCCATATATTGTAATGTCCCAGTAAATGTTTCTGTACTTGGACATAAACCAGCTAATCGTTTCGACATACCAAAGTCTGAAATCTTTACTACACCACTGTATGTATTGACCAAAACATTATCGCCTGAAAACAATAACTAAATTAAAAATACTGAAAACTTCGTATAATAAAAATTTCATATATGTATTATACTTTACCCTTAATATCTCTGTGCACAATTTTTTGATCATGAAGGTACTTGAGACCTTCTAGGATTTGTTTAGTATAATAAGCAATTGTGGATTCATTTTCTTTTAGAGGACCCCATTTTGACCTTAATAAGGCTGATAAACTACCTAAAAAAGAATTAAAATTTACAGTAAATATATATTATAAATGTATACTATATCTTTATGTTCTTCCATGTTATATAATTACCTCCAGGGACTTGCTCCATAAAAATTTTGAAGTATCCTTCTTCACTTACAGAACCTAAGTATTGCACAATATTTCTATGTCTCAATTGACTGTGTAATTTAATTTCCTCGTGTAAGGGTTGCACATCTCCCAAATTCCGTTCTCGAATTTCTTTGACGGCAATTCTAACTTGTGTATTTAAATCTCGAGCAGCATAGACAATCCCGTACGTACCTTTACCTAGCATTATTCGTTTGTTTTGGTCATCCAACTCATATTCAAACTGTGAAGAGACGACTATTAATATAATAAATTTATTTAAAAAATAATCTTAAGTAACAATTATTTACAAACCTTCATCCTATCGTCAGTCATATATGCATCCAAATCTGCGACCATACCCTCCTGATCTCTGGTCATTTCCAAAATTAAGTCATAAAATCTCTGTCTGCATTGAACTGACGGAAAATACATTTGGAAGTCATCAGAGTTTTGATGAACGTATAAGAAAAGGCAACGTTCATCTCTTTTGTATAAGCTTACGCTGCGTATCATGTTGGCGGTGAATAACCAATCGTGAACTTGTTTACAACTATTCTTCATATTGTCCAAGCAAAGATTCCAAATTTGCACCGATTTCTCTTCTGCTCCAAGATTAACGTTTACGTAGCTCGGCATCAAGATCTTCGTTGGCTCCAACACTAAGAGCTAAAAGAGAAAGATTAGTAACTAATTCCTCTTTTTACTGAAAAAGATTGTAATAGAATCTTGATTGAATAAAGTCAGTCTAAGAACCTGCACTAAGAGCAGTTTTATATTGTTCTTACTTTGACCCAAAATGTACAGAAGTAAGCTGGATTGGTAACACAATATTATAAGCCATAGTCTCCCGAATTGGAAACTGGATCCTTTGTAGAACGATTCCATTTATCAACTTACTGGAAACCGTATATTATCTCCAACTTCCGATTTTGTAGCTTCAACAAAGTAGTCCATCCAAAAAGTAAATATTTGCTCCTCTGGCGAAATCTCAGCTTCCTCATTCTTTTTACGAAACCTATCTATCAGCGATATATTTCCTATTGTTGATTTCAGGTACCTGTTTAGAGACAGTTCAATTAATATTCTAACATTTCTTACTTTAATAATAATGCTTTTAACAATAACTAGTACATACCAGTTTGGCGGCTTCAGTTTGAACATGCACTCAGCAGCTTGAATGGCTTTCGAATAATCCTCAGCAAGCACACTGATCTCAAAAAACGTTGCCACATCCCAATAATCCTTTAGACTGGACAAACTGCCCTTCTTGCCAATAAGATTGTTCAAAACCATTCCTATGTGTTGTAATTCTTCACTTTTGGAAAATTCGTTTCCTGCTATAACAAGCAGCGTAGCAAGATTGATTCCTGCATATTCATTTGGTTGTACCTGAATGCAGAAAATGTAGTTTAAAAAATTACGTAGTTCAAGTGTTTAATGTACTGCAAAATAAAGGAAATGGTATACCTCGAAACCTTTTCTGTACCAATGGATAGCATTTTTTAAACTTTCTTCATCAGTATGTCGACTTTCTACAAATTTATCTTTATATATTCTTCCACACAAACATAACATATCAGGAACATGATTTTCTTTCTTCTCCAATGCTTTCTGTATCACTTTTAATGCTGTCTCTCTATCGCCTTCTTTATTTCGCCGGTTTAATGCAAATGCATATAGATATCGAATGGCTGGAGTATTGATGTAATTCTTATGAGTCGGTATTGTTCTTAAATCATCAACTAATTGTACCATTGCATCGTAATCCTAAACATTCGTGACTTTAATTATTAAAGATCTGTTTCATTTGTTCTTTTTTTTTTTTTAACAAGTCATTAATTTATTACCTGTATTTCACGAAAGGAAATTAGAACATTTAGAACAACTTCTCCAGACAACACGTTTGGATCATCTAAGCGTTTACGCATATTGTTCAAAGCTTTCGAAAGTTCTTCTCCCGAATATGTTTCGCGAGCTTTCCGTAAATCCGCAAGAAACTTTTCTTTCATATGTGCTCTAAAAATTGTAGAATTTTTTGTGAAAATTGGTATCAAAAATAATACTATATTAATAATAAGTTTAAATTAATATTAAGTTTAAATTCATTATAAACTTGCTAGTAAGATTGTACAATAGATGCTATAATTCAATTTTATGTACAAAATGATAAGATAAGAAAATATTTACTTTTTCACCACAATACAATCAGAATAAAAGAACAATATATTTTCCTTTCTTATCTCTAAAAATATCATATGATAACAATGCAGTGAAAAATCAAAACATACTTAGATTGTACTTCAACATCTTGAAATAACTTTTTAAGCTTCAACGTAAGATGTTGTTTTGGATCTATGACTTCTTCGCCAGTGATTCTAGTAGTAGCTGGATTAGTTGCCACACATGAACCACATTCCACCACACGATAGGATACAAATGTATAATTACCACATGACAACTACACATTGTGAAATATCATGTTAAAAATTAATTTTTGGATACAATATGTTAAAATGATATAAATGTACCTTAATCCTGATTGTTGTTTCTGTATCTATATCATTATGCAACAAAATATTTTCTTTCATGCCAAAACTTTCTCTGACACCAAGATGATAAAACAAAGCAGACTGTTGTAGCTGAATACTTAAATCCACAACAGCTACATCTGCATTATAAAACGTATCAAGTACGTTTGTTTCGCCAAAATCCAACTTTTCAAACTAGAAAAATAATAATCAAGGATATACTTAAATATTTTTACTTTTAGCAGTGAAAAATATTTATACCTGAATATGATGCATATTAGCATTAACTAGATTGCATGCTTGTCTGACTTCTTCTAAGGCTCTTCTTCTCTGAGCCAAATGCTCTGATTGTTGTAAGTCTAAAACACAAGCTACATCCATTCTGGGTCTTCCTGAAATAGTGGTATGTCCAGAAATATCACTGTGTGTACCGATACTATCAGTACTAGAAATACCTTCTGCAATAGTTGGTTGTGCAGCCACTGTAAAACATCATTAGTGACTAATAATACTAAATTCTTCCTCAACAAAATTGATTTAACAAGAAATTACCAGCCATGTCAACTGTATCGCCACAAATGGATGGCATGTTGCACAATTATTGAATGGAAGTAATATTCTTAGTTCTTATGTAATAAATGTCTGGAAATTTTAACAAACAAAAGAATTATAAATTCACCTGTTTGAAAATGTACAATGAGTAGTAAAACAATAAATTCCATTATACCATTAAATATATTTTAATTATCATAAAATATAAATTTATAAGTTTCAGAATGTTACAAATTATATGTAAAAAATGAAACCTAAAGGTACATAATTTAACTTCTAAAACACATTGTTATTCTACAAAAAACTTTAGACTACAACGAAACTACAAAACGTAAAAGAATCTGGAACCAAAATTCGGCTTATGACATTGGCTCACACAAAATTAATACATGATGAAACTGATGCACGTCGTTTCACGAACACACGAGAAATCCCATAACAGAATTATTGTTTAATTATGTCAAATACACGAAATACCTTTTATACTGAACATTATAATCCTCCATTTCTTCTAGAACACACAAATCCAGAGTCGAGGTCGTGCTGCACAACTCACATAAAGAATTTTCTTGTTAGTTCACAGATGGCAGAAAGATCAGTCGCTCTACCGGTATAAAAATAGAAACTCTTAAGATAGAACCAGAACACATAATAAGAATAAAATGATAGGTGATTATCAGCATCGTAGAAAATCACGACCATGCAAATCATTCGATCAACGCAATGTTCAAACTAAGCGATACAATGACATGCAATGATTAGATTGACTTTAAATTATTGAAAGATTGGTATTTCGTCGAATGTGCCAAGTCCGTGAAAAAGCATACTGAAAAAATAACTTCATTAATTTGTATGTCAACCAGTAAACGTCTTCCATGGTTGCCAACGTGATGTTAATTAAATTAACCTTCGACGAATGTATACTTCGACGATAAAGTATGGTCATCGTCCACGAGCTGTATACTCCGTAGAGTTAAAACATCCGACACAGGATAGTCCGAATGCAACTGCAGCAAAACACTTTTGTCGGTCGACTAGAATCGACCCTTTAATCGGAGAACATACTTTCAAAAGAGGTTCACCACGCGTAAAAGGCGAATAATGAGTTTGTAGGTCATTTGAATTCGATTGCACTGAATGTTACAGTACAGAGCACCGTGGAAACGTACCAATGAACTCCACATGAGCAGGATGCTAGGAACAGGAAGAGCAATCATAACTGCGTAGATTGTCGGAAGCTACGACTTTTCTACTCGTGTACTTATGACTGTTAAATAGAATAAGAGATCTCAATTTCGCTCCTTCATTCATCTCTGTCCATCAGACTTAATATCTGGGTTAATAAAAGCTACCTCTGCTTGATAAAAGTAAACTTCCTCTCTCCTTATTTAACCACGTAGAATATTATATGTTTACACAGACCATAAATAAATAAATGCAATTATTTCATATATATTAGCAAACAGAAGGATTAACATTAATTGTCTTCATTTATTTTTAAAAGAACATGAACTTGGATTAACTTTATCATTCATCATCATAAATTTAAAAAAAAAAATGTTATACAATAAACATAAATTAAAATCCATATTCGGAAATTTAAAAAGTGAATAATTATTACTGTTATATTGTAAGTTTTTCAATATAGTATCAGTATCGACTTACGTGAATAACAGGAAATCAATATTCCTCGACGAACAGCAAAGTTGTGGAAACTACGTGATCCTATCGTTGGATAGTTGACTATGTGTATTGAGAACCAAGAGTAACTACAATCGTGACGGAAAGGGTCCGAAAGGTGAACATGATTCATATGAACGCGGTTTACGAGTGCGTGAAGAATAGTGGGGTGCAGTGATGCGCGGAGCGGCCACTCCGCAGCGCTCCCCTTTCATTAGGAACATATAATGAATAAGGAGCCACCACCATCTTAATTCGAAGATATATGCTCTCTTCATTTTTTTACAATCTGCATACTAAACCGTCTTTTGTATTAGCAATGCAGAATGCGAAGAGGTTGTTTGATAACTGAGAAATTAATATACTTCCTCACACATCGTGTTATTCTATCACGGGGGGACCCCGAGAACTGGCCTGCCCCACGATCGACCGACAAACACGTCATTTCTCGCAACCAAAGAAACCACTGATTGTGAGAGTTTCTATTCTTTCATTTAATTCCCTTTCACCACACAATAATTCTCAGAAATGGAAGTAAAAAAAAGAAGATAACATATTTAATTGACCAGCATTATAATTGCAATTTATAAAAATGTATTTTTAATTATAAATTAAGCGAACGAATTATCTTGTGATATTTAACAATTTATTGATAAAATATATATATTTCAAATGTGAGATAATATACAAATTACTAAGGAATCGGAATTTTGTATATTATCAATTGGACAATAAAATAAAATACATATTTTCGTGCATTCATATTTAAGATTTCTATCAGAAAGTTTTTCTACAATGACCAACAGAGCCATATGTGAATGAAACGACGAAAGATGATAGGTAGTGGTCCGTAGATATCCTAAGCTCGAGATACTTGCCTGATCATTGGGGAGCCTCGCGGTGTAGAAACCGCTCCAGGAATGCGTGTAATGCGTGTACGTACACGTCACGTCCACTTATCGTTCCTGTCACGTACGAAGCTCATCGTCATGTATGTGCCTCTCTACCTGCATAAGTGCACCAGTGCAAGTATGCACGTACGCGACCTATCACTTTACGTGTCAATCTTAAAAATGTGTTCGTTCACGGTCGTACATTGGTAGCGTACACATTGGTTACGTAAGAGTATTTAACTCGCATACGTGAATATTCGCGGATGGGAACGGAAAGCTATGAACAAAAATGTCGAATGAGTTTCAGCGTAACTGATGACTTTATTGACTCAACATTAATGAAATTGTTGTTATATTTATATTTATAAATCTTATTAATGATAATTACTTGGATCAAAATTATTAATATCCAACTTCTACGTGTTTATAACTTATTATACATAGTTAAGAAGTTTAATGTAATTCTTTGTTAATAAAATTAATTATAATTAATTCAATATTCATTTTAAGACAATCTGTTTGAAATTAACTTTGAACAAGTTAAAAGTCTTAACAAAAATAGAATATTAGAAAATATTGTAGACATAAATATTATTTTCCAAGAAGAATCTTTCTTGTTGCTCCAAAGTTTTGACCAGCTTGGGTTGCACCTTTATTGGTACCAGCCTGGAGACCGATATAGCCTTCACCAGCTCTTAGTTGCTCCTCCGTGAAATTTCGTTTATTCTCTTCTGACGGTTTTGGTCCTAGCCATGGTCCACGCCATTCTGGATGTCTATATGTCTGTAAATTTATATTGTTATTATTATTTTTTTCTGCAATTGTACACATTTGACAATAATAAAAAATATGTTTTAAAATTATTACAGTGCGACCGATCGCAAAAATTGTGTTGGTCACTTGAGCGATATTTTTCCTTTCTATAAGATCGACTGCTTGAAACAGATCCACATCTGGTACTCCATATTTCACACAAGCCTTCTGAAATCTGAAATAATGATACATTATAATGGCATTGTTTAAAACTTTAAGATATCTGTTTTCACAGCTAGAATTAACACGTTTTGTGTTTCTGATTAACAGGACAGTAGAATAGTAGCTCGATCGACGTTCAAACGTGTACGATAATCATTGAAATCTCTTTAACCTTGAAAGAAATACCGATAATTATTTATAAAAAAAAAAAGCACACTCTATCGACTTCAATGGCTTTAAAATATCTTATCACGAGCATGATTCTGAACTTTTGCCTATACATGTAATCGTCGCTCTCTTTTAATTCCGAGATATTCGTCGATATAAAATATACCGTATCAAACTTACATTAATGTTAATAATTAGACAATCCATACTTTTAACAAAAATTATGCGAGAATGCTAAAGTTAATAATAAAAAAATAGGATTGTCGTATTTGTTATTTGATTAAGTTATTTGATTAACTACAAATTATAAATATAACTTTAACGCACAATAAAAAGACATACAGGAGGTCGCCATTTTGTCGGCTTCGATGCAGCATGCTATGTAACGCAAGAAACGTGAGGTAGGCCAGTATTAATGAACTCTCTGCGTATTAGGCACGTAAGAACGAAAGAAGCATACACAATAAAGATTCTTACTTCCACCTTACTTCTACTTTCCGCATAAAAAGGGAGTAATGCGGAGTGGCCGCGCTGCGCATCGTTTGCCCCACTACTGAGGAAAGCGCTCTTGAACATTGAAAACGCGCCAATTGTCGACATGCGCACGCGACATCGCAGTTAGAGATGCAGAAAATGTGCATGGTTACATTACATTTTGCACAGAGCTGCCCCCTCCCCCCCCCCCCAACAAATACCTTATACATTTCATCTTTCCAAATACATTTTATTTTAACGTAATCTTACTCAGCTCAAAAAACAATCTTCAATATGACAATAATGTTCAATTTTTGTAATTTGGTCTTTTATCTAAAGAGATAAATGTAATAAGCGGAAAGTGTTCTGATTAGATTATGCTTAAACATGCACGTTTATTATTGTACTGCGTATTGCTTTTATCAAATTTTCTTGTAAGATTGCTTGCTGGCTGAGGGTACTTCTTTTTATCCTCATAAACGATCCCGACCTAGGACTTTCTTGATTCTTATTTATCAGGCTTTCAGGTAACGCGAGGAACAATGACGTAATTAAAATCTCGCGGCAATTGCACCGGCGATTTCAATCGCAACCTCTCGTTTGATCTCTCGATTCCATCAACGATTCTGTGACTCTGTGACTCTTCGACTTCGACTTATTCGAGTCGAGAATCGTTGGGAAATACTGTCGATTGCGTAAACTTGACTGAACAATAGGAAAACATGAAATGAAAGAAAGTAGGCAATTGACGAAAATTAGCGGGTTTGCCTTCTCTAGTATCATTTACATTTCGTTGCATTCTTGTTATATACACGGATATCATAATAAACGTATTTACTAAATATTACTACTTTGTAAATAACAATGCATATTTAGTAGATGAAACAATAGTTTGCACACGATTCATAGACACTATTGCTATTTATAGTTATATCATTCTTCAATGTTAACACATATAATCATTAGTAACATACCACTGATTCGCTCATGCGATATCAGAATATTTTTGTACGATACATACTGATTAAGATTGTCCATCATCTTATAATCACCACCAGACGTATTAATTTTGGTGATGAGACCTGGTTGCAATTTGTTCATAAGTTTACAAAGCAACACACCATCTCGCAAAGCGTCCTCATAACTCACACCTAAAAACATATAAGTGTAAACAAAGAATATTCAACAACTAGGTATAATTATTGACTATTTTCTTAATGTAAAATGTACGAGACATTGAAATATAATATAACTTTTGAACAATTTCTTAACTCGTCGGTACTAACCAATCATTCACCTAAATGCCTAACGAAATCTGTGAAAGAAAAGAGAGCTAGCGGCACCGGGCAATGAAAAGAATGCCGAGAACCACAGTGGCACCAGGATAACAGAAAAATAAATCTGGCTTCCCTCGGGATGAAGTGCGGCTTTGAAAGTTCCGCAGCCGAATGACATGCGCACTCCATGTCAACCATTGATTTTCATTGTCAGGTGGGCTATTATCGGTTGAAATGAATGACAGCAGCCGTTTCTCTTGTTTTATCCTCCCCCTTCTTGTTCATCACTGCGGTCGAGATTGCCGCGAAATAATAACAGAGGCAACGTGCACCAGCACTCGTTTATGGCGCCCCATTATGCCAAGAGGCGCGCCAAGGGGGCATGGCATTTTTTTCCAGTCAGTCGAAGGATCAGGAAAGACCGCCTCCGTCTTCCGTTGCCTGTTTTTTTTTTTTTTTTTCTACTCTTCAACGATGTTTCTCGATCAACGCCATCATTGTCTTGCAGTCGTCGTGACTCGCGGCGTAGAAGCAATCCCGTCGCCATTCGGAAGACACGCTGTATCTCAAATTGCTAGGAGGCCAGCATCCAACAGGAGCTCGTACGTCGATGTCGAGCATGTATCGTTTATTGTCAAGCTCTCCCCTACCAGTTGACGTTTCGATGTATCGAACGTATTGACATGCCACGCTCTCTAGCGAGCAACCTTATAAATTGTATCGATACGTGAACCGCGAGCGGAAGCGCTGCGATCGATGTGCGCAACAGTTGGCTCTCTTCCTATATATGTACTCATACGTATGTATGTATCTATACCTGTGGTGATAGATACACGAAACCATTGAAGTGTTAAAATAATTGATATGCCAGATAAAAGATATCTTGAAAGAAGGTAGATATAAGAGTAATTAGTCAGCAATAGGTGTTGAAACAGGTAAGTGATTTATCAAGAATTTCTCAGCCAAATACAATTCAACGGTTACGTATATATCATTCTATAGACTATAGGCTATGTCCGGTTACGCGCGGTTGTAGCAATGGGTAATATATGCAGCATCTATGAATATGAAAGTTACAGAGTTACTAAGAAAACATACTAAGCTTCAAGTAGCTCTGCAGTATCTTTTATATGAAACTATATCTATGAACTGTGAAACACTGCGCATCATGCGAAAATAAATCGTTGCAAAAGATCATAAATATATTGTAGCAAGCTTATTCAAGCTAATTTTTGTTTGGTAATAAATATTACAGTATAAATACATATTGTTTGTAATCAGATAGACGCGTGTCACTCGTCACATATTTATTATATATAAATCGCTACTTGTTTTGAGACATTTTTTGGATAGAGACACGGACTAACTGTTCAAAGAACTACTATCCTGATCCTGCAAGGACGACGTGTCACGTGGTCTTGCTACAGGGGGGACCGCCATTAAATGCTTACCCCAAAATCTGTTCGCCTAATACAAAACTGGTCGTATGCTTGAATTTTCGATTGACGAGTATTCGACAGCTGATCAGCATCAACTAACAAGTATTGTTCATTGAATTCTTTATCGAGTCCTAAATTTTAAACAGTAAGGGCAACAATTAATTGCACATTTGCAAGCATGGGCAATCATAAATGTTGTACAATTATAATTAAGCAGAAAGAATTTTACAAACAAGACGCATCAAACATTTAAAGAATTGATTTAATTTAAGAAGAAACATATGATTCTCAGTGCCTTCGAGAGAGATTATCAAAGTCACGTAAGAAATAATTGAAATAATTTCTTCAACAGAATGAATTTAATCATTCCTACTTTGTGAAATGCAAAAGAAAAATTTCTTTAAAGAAATAACCATCTTATAGAGAGCATATTGATAGCAGACTGTGCTACGCATGTCGAGCGAATGGAGCGAACCAGTTGCTTTTCCACAATATCCAGGCAACAGGCCGGAGGCGACAGCATCCAGCATCCACCTCCGGATCAACGCGGGCATATGGAGTAAACAAGTATGATATGGTGATACGTTCCTGGTAGCATCGAAACACGATGAGATGTCGTAAACGCAAGAAGATGACAGAAAATCAATAAACCACCTTCCAGATCTGGACCAACTTGCCCCTTACGATTCTTCACTACTTTCTTTCATGCTCGAGCAAACACAGTAATATGATGCTGACCTGATATTTTTCAGACGTTGTGTGTCTTATTGCTGTCTTCGTTCGTCGCCCGATACCATGCGTCAAAAAAATATCGAGTCGCAATAATATGTATTGGTGAATCGAAACTATTACTACCCTCGATACTACCCTGTTACGGTGACACGTCATAGTCGTCATGTCCCGACAATTTGATATGAAATCCATAAATCGCTTGAAGCGTCTTTTTTTTACAAATATACAGTGAATGTGTTTCTTTCGGTAATTTTACGTAAAAATATATTATTATGTCTATTAGGACCGAGGTCCCAACTTGGATCTAGATTAAAAGAAAGCAATATTTAAATAATGAAGTGGAAAGAACGCGTATCTCGGTACATGATTTTCTTAGATGTATAAAAAAAAAATAAAAACTAAAAACTAATTTGTATAAAATAGAATAGAAAAGTATATAATGCTATATAGTGAGAAAATAGAAAAAAAAAATTAAATTTTTTAGAAAGAAAAAGGTGCTCTCCAGCTTCAACAAACACGCTTGCGTGCCTCGGTATTGATTTCACGTCAGTTTCATGTCATAAAGACGTCAAACACACGGTTTTCATCAGGGCAACATCCCCGGCTTGAATTTACGACCAGTAGCAAGCAACAGGTCCCGCGGGAATGAATCCTTTCACATGCAGAATCCAGCTTCCCTCCATTTTTGTAAAACCGAGGCTGCGTTAACAATTTCTTCTCACATAGTGCATTTATTTCATAACGAATCAACATTCTATGCTCTTTAATTAAATTTATAGAAAATAAACGACTAAAACCAATGAAAAATGAAAATTAAGAAATACGCAAAAGAGTTAATGTTTAAACAGAATTTTATGCTTGAAAATAAAGTATATATGTAACTTTTTATGCCTGCATAAATCTTCCCAATTTCAAGCAACGAATAATTTGTATGAAATTACGAACCACCGGTTAAGAGAGAAATAGAGAGTGCCAACCCTTCGGGGACGTTTCCAAATGAAACACGACCCTAGGCAACAACCTGTTGCTCTTGGTCGTAAATCTACCCTCGGGCTGTAATCCTGGTAGGCTCGTCTCAGAATGACGTCATTGACGGTCTTTTGACGGACAACTGACACCCGTTGACGTTTCGCCAGAACCTTTCAATCGAACGAATCACCGATACGCGATTCCTTCCGAAGAAAATGTTCTTATTTTTCGAATAAATGCATCGAAAATATCTGTCTGTACGTGAACGCTAGGTGCCAACCCTTCGCCGGCGGGAAAGCCATAAATTCATCTACTATCCTTCTTTGCTACCCTAGTAACTGCGAGCTTTCGTGACGTCACGCAACGTTTCGTGACGAGCAGTTCGACATATCAACAGCTCTTATCTGCCGGAGCTACCCCTCCAGAGAAGGAAATGAGAAAACCTTGAATTACGGAAAGTTTAAGGTCCAATGGACACTGGGATCGATACATTGACGTCAACGTGGCGGGCAAGCCATAAATCCCTCAAACGTCTGCTAGTACCCTGGTGCAAGCAAGCTAGTTGTGCCACCGTGACGAACGGATGACTGACACTTCCCTCCCTTGAAATCCTTCGAGCTCTTCCTAACGAGCTTCAAGGGGCGTTCACAACGATATACAACGATATTAAATCATTATTTAATGATCTGCAATTAACAGGAAACAAATTAGATTATACTGCGGATGCATACAGTTCCTTTGAAGATTAATTATATATAAAATCAATCGAGCATTGATAAAGTGAAATATGAACATATTGTAATTGAAGCTATTTCAATTTACAGAGAGTGAACGACATTGTACAACCGTATACACATGTGCAATTGTGTATAAATTGATAAATGTAATATTCGATCTTTTGTTGTAATAAATTAATAGAAATAGAAAAGGAACAATTGTTGTGAAGAATCCTTAATGTTTAATTCGTTTTACAAGAAGAAAACCGAAGGGTGTGCAAGAAGGGGGAAGAAGGAATGATACAATGCGATGTTTCACATGACTATCCGGGTTCTCGTATGCGGCCCTGATACGTTGGCGTCCTTACGACGTAACATGATGAACAGATGACGCCCAAATCAATACGTGTCGTCGGCAAAAGATTGCTAAAAACTGTTTAACGAGTTTCTCAGTTGAATTTCTTTCCTACATTATTAATAACAAAGAACTCGATTTCCACATGTATGGATATTTCTAATCTTACAAAGAAACTACTTTTGTCACTATTTTAACATTTTACAATTCCATGTGTTTCACCACTTATTAATTTTTAATTTCTTTTCTTCATAGGCTAATCGAATTTCTTTAGAAAAATTTTTTCAGTCAGATATTTCATATTTTTTGTTCACTTGTCAAAGTTGTCTAAACATTTCACGAGAATGCTAATATTCAACTAAAACGCAATTTCCTACCCTCGTGGAAAAAATATTTGTAAGTGTATAATACAAACTGGCATACAAGGGTCGTGTCCAGCATGCCACGCGAGCTTCCAGGAACAGGCTAACATCCAGAATCGAAAGATTCGAGAATCCTGGAACGCATCGAATTCCGCTTGCACACCATCAAACCACAACGACAAAGGTCAACGACGTTGGGGGGTGAATCGAAAGAATAGGAAAGTGGGCGACGGCAATCGAACCGAGGTGGTAGTCCAAGTTCAATTTTAAACGAGTCAATAACATCAAAAGCTTCAAATACCCGGCTCGCATCATCCTGTAGAGCTGCTACTTGCTGTGGGTGGGAAACATGACACAGCGTGATAATGCTCAAGGGATAAGTGACATAAAATGTAACTACACCATGCTTGGAGATTAAACATCGTCTATTTACTCTAACGTGAAAATTGTCTATTCTAGAAATCAAGTTTATTCAATGAAAGTTTCGATTAAGAATGTAACCTTTTTTATGCTAATACGATAGTTCAATAGCATGTTACAATAGGTCATTATTACAGAAAGGCATTAAATATTAGTTCATCTTAATTTGATGCTCTTTGGTATTATATAAGAGGGTGTGCAATCGTTCGTTTAGCATGGCAATTGCGTCGACGCCTGGCGTATTTCACGAACCAGGGGTACACGTTCGACATAGGGGTTGCTGCCTATTTGCCGTTCAATAGGGTGACTCGAATGACGTAACAAAGCGCGCGTTTTACTAGGAGAACATCAGCAAAAAGAGGCTATAGCTACCCTTAACACAACCATCTGCTATCTATTCCATACTCTATTCCATACTCTATTGTATCTAAGTTCCTTATGATCAATAAAATTTAGATTTACAAATATTTTTCATTAAAATTTAGATTTACAAATATATCTTACATAAGCAGAGGCAGTAAAGTTATTGATTAAGTTATTAATAAAAGTACTAAATTTATAAGTATTAAACGTACTATGTACTATTTGTATTTTCATTATAAATGATAATAGCAGAAATAGTAGAAATCCTTCTTCTTCATTCCATCATATGTCTCTAAAGTTTAAATTATCTTTTCTTTTCACTTTTCCATTTGTCACTTTCCATTGAATACGCCAATAACTGACCCAGCCAACAAGCTTAACCTTTGCGACGTCACGCGGCCTGACATTTGTACCCGGGAATTATAGGATCGCAGCTAGCCTTTGGATGCGTTGCGCTGGTCCTGAACGGGGGTGGTGATATTGACACGCTTTTCGAACTGCACCACCTCCGGAGAACAGGAGTACATATACGAGAGCACGTTTCGCAAGGGAGTAGTATCAATGATAAATCTCAATATTCCGCGTAATCTTAATAATCGCATTTCTGGATGTTCTAGCTAAATTACGCATTTTACAATGCGCAAATTGATAAAAATGAAAGTCAGATGTTACGATTACGAGCTTTATGATCGTACCTGGTGGAAATCTTTCACCGACCACTCTCTCAATCCATTGCTGAGCCTCAGCCTCTTGTTCCGGTTCTCGTTTGCCAGCAACCTGTAATTAAAAGACTATTTCAACACGTGCTTTTTTTAATCCTATTAAACTTTCATGCGTGGAAGAGCTCTAATAGCTCTTCCAAGTAATTAATGATGGTCAACATTTTTTGTGGAAGACAAAATCCGAAAATAGCTAACTACAATACATAGGGGGGCAGGCATTCACCACATTGTGTGTTGGTATTCATTAATTCTATCTTCAAGTTACGATACTCGAAAACACTGATAAAATTAAACGAATTCCAACTTGTGCACATGACGTCATATAGCTCATCACTGAAGATTTAGGACTGAGAAGAACTCACTATATTATAATATAAAATACGTCGAAAGATAACTTGGTGAAAAAAAACTCATATTTTTTTTAATACAGCAAAAAATATCTGAAATGTATGTGTTTTTAAATGAAATAATCAGTTTCCGCAGAAACTTTCAAAAATTGCCGTAGCCGATGGTATTTCACATCGTCATGGCGGGGTATTGGTAAAAGTTTTCAACTAGCAATAATCGCACCTCGGTAGAACCTCATTGGTTACGATATCGCCACTGCGCAAAGCTGACGAGTGTGCGTTTCTTAGACCTACTAATAACAGTCGTGTGATCTTTCAGCAGTGAGAATCACTATTTCCATGACACCACCTGGTGGTAAGTCGACAAACTAACGCAACAAATTCACGTAGGCATGAAGTAATAGTTATTTTAAGGGTGAAATACATATGTTTTAGAATTTAATTTCAGATAAATTAACATTAAGAAATTAATAGAAGATGTTTTCTAGTATATCATTATTGCAAATATTTGTCAAATAAAATCCATGAATCATCTAGAAGCGAGACTTTCTAAGAATCTAATTTTTTTAACATACGTACCTATGAAAAGTATTTACAATTGATTGAAAATGAGGATGCGTTAAGTATTTGCTGGAAATGCATTGTCGCAGGAAAACAGGAAAGTAGGAGGTGGTACATTCAATACATACACGGAGAAGAATGCCGTGTAATGCAGTCTTGCCCACATTCTTTTTTTTTTGCTGCAATCAGGTAAATACTCTTTGCAAGTATTTAATACTTTGAAGCTCTAATAAAACAAAAGGATTTAATCATTAATTAACTATTCGTTCTGAAATCAGTTAAATAAGGAGCAGATTATTAACTTATTAACTATTCACATTCTTCATTGCGAAATCGGAATGTATACAAATATTTTTGAAATATTCGGATTGTCGAAAAAAACTAGCATAGGACATTTTAGTTGACCGGAATCTCATTGACGTGATTGGTCTAATTTTTGTTACGTAACTTGATCTCAATGTAACCGATGCAAATATTCACTCCAGCCGTCTACGCAAATCCGTTGTGTTACTATAAACTTGGAAACGGCGTCAATTGACGGAATCTAAACTCGGCGGTGGCTTCACCTTTCGAAGTGGCCAGAATTTAGAAATTACGAGCATCTTGGTTATCGGTATCTTTCATCTGGCGCCTGTCCATAGACCGATTAACCATCATTTCTTCAAAAAACACATCCACTTATTCGAACTTTCCCCCCGTCTATTCCCCGACGTCAGTATTTAATAATAAACAACAAATAGTTGTGACGAGTGATACCAAGCATTTCCAATATAACCGAATTCGTGAATTATTTTTGACATCTTTCGACAAAAGCAAAACGAAAATTATTAAAAGGTTTCTCTTCTGCTAGAAATACCGAGACCTTAATAATTCAGGTTCCAGACGATCCCCTCGCGTGTGCACAAAGTTGCACATGCTATTTTGGATGCTTAGTATTTTGGGAATTCTGTAATTAATTTCCGTAGGGTTGCACGTAATTTTGTTCACGGTTGAAGAGGATTGTGAAACTTCAAAGAAGAACTGCTAGCAAGGAAATTAGAAGAAGAAAGAAAAAGGAAAAATCTACGGAACGAGATGTAAAAATAAGCCATCTGTTCTTGTATACGAGCAAGACTGTGAACCGATTATGATGTGTAGCAAAAGAGTCTTTGAATCTACGAAAAATAGCATAGAATTATTACTAGACATTTTTATCACTATTCTTGTATCTTTGAATATCTTATAAATGCATAAAAATTGACAGTCTGTCTATAACGTATTTCAGCTTTAAATCAACTAAAATACATTCTTAAATTATTTTTAATTAAAAAGATACGCCTTTTACAAATCTAGGCAGAAGAACACTAAAGAAAACTATGTCAACATTCCTATTCATTACATCTTATAGAATCATATATTAATGAAAATTAGATCCGTGGTAATAAACTTTATAATATTAGATCTGTTGATTAGACTTGCCAAACATACTACAATTTACTATCGTAAATAATAAGAGAAACATCACATGAAAACCAAAGAGAAAGCCCATGATAAAAAAAAGAGGAGACATTTGCTCTATTATTAAGAACGTACAAGCATATTTCTCTGTTTCGTCTTGTAAATAGGGCTGCAGTGTCAAGATCTGGTCATTGGCGGGGGTGTGGGAATACCCACTGGGCAATGGGCCAAAAAATACTCGTTTCTGAATGTCGGGAAAGGATACGGCGGAGGGGAGACCGGCATATAGCGTCGCGACGCAGGGCGTCCGACTTAGTCTCTAGTCAGCGTCATCGTTCAAAAGTCGTTCTCCTGTCCTATACTACATACAGGAAAAGCTCAGCCCTGTGGCAACGATTGCAGTGAGATTCAAGAGAAGAGAAAAAGGAGAAAAATGCCGGTACGTGTTTACTATTCTGTTTGGGAATCAACTGTTTGTTCCACGTGGAAATAATGATGAACTTTGATCATACGATTATACACCTGATGTGTGATATGAATAATCCACGCGAAACCGTGGTTATTCGTAGAATCCTAATTACGTATAGACCTTGAACTATTTCGTTTTGGCGATTTTCCCAGATTACTGGATTAATCTTGACACATAGTAGTAACATCCGAAGTTGTTAGAAAAAGGAAACGGATATCAAGAATGCAAAGAAAAAGAACGACGTCCGAGTTGTCCGAGATATCTGCTTTAGTTTTACCAATGAATGTCGGTCAGATTATTGACACGATGGAACCTCGTAACTCCGAAATGGCAATTTGTACCACTGATCGGCTTTGACGTCTGATCTCTTCCTCCCGTCCCATTCGGAGTATTTATACCCCAAGATAAATATCCTTACGTAATTATCTATGCGACGTCTTCGGGCGGAAATATCAATTCAAAAAAGAAAAAAATTGATAAATCGACTTCTCCAACAAGTCATTAACATTATGTTACTGAATTACTTTTTTTTTTCAAATTTAAGACTGATATGACCTTTATAAATAACTTCCTAATATCATCACCATCGTTCATTGAAATTTTCAGCGCTGATAGTCGACTTAATCTTTAGCAAAGTCACTCGATAGGATTCGATCAATTTAATTTGAAATTTAATGAGTCATTCATTAAACATCTTGGAGAGATGGATCTGGTCTGAACGAAAACACCACGTTCCTTGAGAATCAAGCTTAAAATACACCTTGAGAGTATTCGAGGAGGAACATATTGCTTCAAAAGGCTTGACATTTTGCAGATATGCTAGAGATTTCCCCTCGAGACCACTACTGATCTTTCACATTGAACATTCCTAATGCAATCGCTGAAATATTTAAGGCAATTATTTGTATATAAATAGAATCATAAAGTAAGGGCTTAATAAGGTTTATTGTTGCTAAATAGTAATCAATTGTAATACTAAATCTATTGTACACTGTCATAGAGACAGATTTTATTTATGTCAATTGTTCGTTGGCAATCAAAGCAAAACGAGTTTATAAATTGCTTGCATTTATCACGAGGAAACACATACAAATTGATTCTCGATATTCGTTATTTATAAATCGGTTCGAAGAGGAAAACCATTATATAGAATAGAATGATCAGATGAGAAATAAGCAAAAATTCTTAACCATCTTTCGAAATTCCCGTTTGTATCTTACGATCATCCCGAAAGATAAAAAAAAAAGAAAAGATAAAAATTTTACTAACACAGACACCGCGGAAAGAAACTCACAGAGGCGAAACAATTGTCAGAGTGCCAAGTATGTAATTTCGTCTTACTGACGATTTTACTAGAAATCAGCATCTTCGAGCACGGCACAGAAACAGGTGGCTGAACCGTTGTTGTTTCTTGCCAGTTTTAATAAAAGCCAACAAAATCAGTCGGCGGTATTTTATTTTCGACGTTCGCTTTATGCTCGCGGTAACATAACACCGTCGCGGTCTATTTTCGTTCATGACATTTTTAAATTGCCCGGCAACACTTCGCTGGACCATCCCTGTCTCTCGAGACGATATCGGTTGCCGCAATACCTTACCGTCCTACGATTCTAATTCCGGAGCATGCAATTGACGAGGCTTAAACTTCCGGTTCCTAGGCACGCAACAAGGAACAAGAAAGTGAAATTATGGCCTGGATCGAGGCTGTTCTTGGAGAGAAACTTCCACCTGGAAATTACGAGGATATACTCAAAGATGGGGTAATTCTATGCAAGCTTATCAATAAATTGGCACCTGGCTCCGTGAAAAAGATTCAGTCAAAGGGAACTAACTTTCAGCTTATGGAGAACGTTCAAAGGTATAATAAATTAAATTTCGGAACTTTAAAGAAATAAGGTCTGTGCATATTACTATTTAAATAAATATTACATTACATATACACTTCTGTTTTAGCGTTTTGAGAGTCACTATAATTATTAATTCAAACTTATCAAAACTGATAAGAACAGTTAATAGAATTAAAATCTTCAATACAATTTACTCAATATATGTCAGGGATTCTTTTTCCCAGAAAGCTACTACATTTTAATCTATAGATGTGAGTTACACTTATCAATTTGTAATTCGGGATAGATTTCAGGCAGCCATTAAAGAATACGGCGTCCCACAAGAAGAAATCTTCCAGACAGCTGATCTCTTCGAAAGACGCAACATCCCACAAGTCACATTGTGCCTCTATGCCCTTGGAAGAATTGTACGTATCTTAGAAATAATCAAATTTTGAAATTTCAAGAAAGAATTTTAACGAAGGATTAACATACAACTCGTCGTATTTCTTCTGTCCGCATAGACGCAAAAGCATCCGGAATATACTGGACCACGTCTAGGACCGAAAATGGCCGATGAAAATAAGAGAATATTTTCGGAAGAACAGCTTCGAGCTAGCGAGGGTCAACTCAATTTGCAGATGGGTTTTAACAAAGGAGCCAGTCAAGCTGGCCACGGTGGATTCGGCAATACTCGACACATGTAAATCTTCTACATACACGTATAGAAAACGCGATGTCAAAATCTACATAGATATAAATATTCTTTTGCTACTAATTGTCGATCTCGAAGATACTCAAAGAAATCAACTATTGATCAGTTCAAAGTACATATTGTAATCGCGACTCTGTAACACGAAATTCGACCAATTCCAAAAACTATTCTCCTCTTAGATATATTGAGATAATTCAGTGATTTGTTATTGTGAAGCACAACGTTATATTCTTATATACGTAAATGTGAAATCCTGTTGTAATTATTAATCAAACACAGACACTTAATACACTACACGTTACATTACAATTACTCATAACATAATCAATATATAATAATATACTACACATGTACACAGTCACAACACTAAACAGTACATTACGAAACAAATACACGCACAGTATACACTCATTTTATTCACAAAAAGATAAAACAATTTTGTAAGATAATGAAATGCACACATACACTACACACGCAAATATGTACATGTAAAATGTCAAAATTAAGTGACTTCTTAATGCATCCTTTCTTGAAACATAATATAAAGTGCCAGCAAAAACTCATCAATTACATCAAGACAAGTATGAGAAAAATTTATGTACCAACAGGATTTCTCAATTACATTAATATGTAAATGTAAGATTCTATATCAAAGAATATTTTACAAATTCAGAACGAATAGCTTAATGCCTTTTCTAAGAATTTTAATTATTTTAATAATTATTCTCACACGATTTGCTAATAATGTATAAATATAAAATGTAAAAATGTACAAAATAAAAAAGCAGCGCTGTTATTTTCTATTATCTGTATTATTGTACATCTGTAATCAAAATTATTTAAAACCATAAACCTTACAACAATTACTAATTGACTGCTATTTTCTTCTCAATGTTAAGAAAAAAACGGGTTGAAGTAAATTAAAAATTCTTCTTGTTGATATTAAGTACTTGACAAACATTATAAATGGTATAACAATAATATCATAACGAGTAAGATTAGAAATTGAGAAAATGGATCTTTGTTGATCTTTTTCTCAATAATCTGAACTTGAATTTCAAGTTAATTTTAGTATATTAGTCAGTCGCTAAAATACCAAGGACTTGTTTGTAAATAAAGCTTAAGCCATACATAATGTCATCGGCGTGACACAAATTTTTCTCTAAATTTTTCTTCATTCTTTTTCTCTTTTTAACGTGACCGTATCATAAGATTCGATTCAAACTTTTGCTTAGCTTACATTAGCAAGCCTTTGCGTTATTTTTGGATGTCCGCGATACCAGCAGACTGCCAATGCTGGACTCACGTTATGATATCGCATTAATACATCGAGTATTTATATCTCATAATACGATATCCGATAGCCCATCGAAATGTTCTATGTTGTATTGTCATTAAAAATTCTATGAGAAATGAAATGTAGAAATGTGCTCATTTTCATGAGAACGATACGATCTCGAGTATAAATTAAAACAGTGTATCTATGTAGTAGATGACGATGCAATGAATGATTCATTCATTGCATAGTTTATAATCTCTACAAAATTAGAAACACTTCAACGAAAATTTTGTAAAAAGTATTGCGGAAATGTGTCTTGAGTCAGACGTTTGAAATAGATGGACTTTCAGTATATTAAGCAATCGATATTTCTTTCGCGTTTCTCGATGTTTCGCGTGTTTTATAAAATATTCCACTTCTCGAAATGAAATGTTTGATTAATAATATTTTAAAATTACAACTCATGTATAATTTTGATTCAAATCGCGGCATAAACAAAAAAACACACTTGTTTGAATGAACAATATGAATCTCATGCGACAGTGTATGTAAGCATAGTGATTTTAAGAAACGCAAGTTATAGAATATAAAGTTGAAAAACTCTTTTGTAAACTGATAACGTAATTGTACTTACGACGCAAAAGATTGTTTGATTCGTATAAATCAATGGTCAAATGTGAATTGCAATTTAAAGGTTAAGTCAATTGGCGCGAGCAACTTCATAGCGTTCTTACTTCAATAGCGCGAACATATATAAATGTGCGAGGATATCAATATATAAAAATGAGAATTTTTTAAACATAATTTACCTGCCAAAGCGGACGTCCAGGCATGATGAATGCTGATTTCAACTGTTATTTTACAATTCCGAGAACGTGGAGACGTCAAGTCGGTAAGAGCTAAAGCAACTCAAGCTCAAAAAGTGTGAGCTTCGGCCCCCGTGCTGCGTATATATGCGTGACAGGTGTGCGTTCGTATTGGTGAATGTGGGGGCGCTTCTATATATGGACCACTTACTCACCACTCACCCTAATTTACACACGGACACCTCCGCCGGTATCTTTTAAAAAGTGTTTTCAAAAGAATCACGTGAACGTCATGTTTCTGTTGGAGTCAATGCAACATATTTTCCTAATTCTGTTTAAAAACACCTCTTTTTGGAAACACTTTTCTTATATTTCTATAATAGAATAAGTATATATAGATGATGAAATGGATAACGAGAAGGAAGGGTTGAACGTCGTTTTAGAGTAAACTAAATTTGTAATCATATAATTTTTTAATAGAATCCAAAAGTTCCAAGTTCAAGGCACAGCGATTATTATTTTAAAAGTTATACTACGAATATCAAGTTTATGTATATTGCACAATTTACTTGAACGCCATGTTGAATTTGATCGATAAAGTCATCGTCATGATACCGACTTCTCCCGCGTATTTAATCTTACGCAAGGCGCCAATTTTGTACTCAATACGATAACATATACCTTAATAATAATAACCTCTTGATAATGCAGAATCGAACACTGTATGCTCAAGCATATGTTCAAGTAAACTATACAGTATACATAAACTTTATGTAAATACTAATTAGATACAAAACCTCATCGTTATTTTTGGATTCTATTCGATAAAAACTATCACATGTCATAGATAGATCACATGTCACAAATTCAATGTGCTATAAAACAAAGTTCAACTACGAAAAATACAATAACTTAATATTGTATAATGACAATGTGATTTACGAATATTGTTAACATTCCTTATATTACCTTATATGAAAATATTACTCATGGTTGGTAGCGTGGCCGAGCGGTCTAAGGCGCTGGTTTAAGGCACCAGTCTCTTCGGAGGCGTGGGTTCGAATCCCACCGCTGCCATTTTTTTTTTTTTTTGGCCTTCTTATTGTTATACTTTAATACATAATAAGTTTGTGACTAACCTTCACGAATCAGCAACACATAATTAATGGAAGAAGACAGTGGTAGCAACCACTGTCCCTTGAAGGTCCAATAGGTTGCGTCGGCACGCGGCGCCGTGGTTCACACCTATCAGGAAATTACATATTAGAAGGAGGTTGTCGCTTCTTCGCTGCAGTCAACGACATCTATCGTATCTCTCATAAACTTTATTACTCGGAATAGTAAAATGACTATCTTTTATACCGTATGGTTTCCTATTTTACCGACTCAATACGACAATGCTCCTAAATAACATGTTAGCCTAATAAATGTTTCATTCTGAAGATGCCACCACAAGCCACACCCTATGGATAGATACATAAGATATCCGATTACATTCGTTTATCTTTACATGCATAAAATATAATTAATATACATAAGCTATATAAGTTAAATCTTCTGTACTTTTTACAAAACTGACAGCCCTCGTGTATTTTTATATATTTAAATATAAACATGATTTTTGAATGATTTAACGATTTAATGATTTCTTTCTAAAATCTGTTAGAAATAAAATTAATATGTTAATGATGAATCATTATTGATGACACACTTTAAGGATTATCGAGATCCAATTTATCGTGATATTTGTATAGTCCGTAAAAGAATCAATGAGAGGGGCAAGTACTTATTGGATACAGAGAATTTGTCTGTATGAATGAGATTAAGGATGGCAATGTCCAATGTTTGTTGTCTTAAATTCAAAAAAAAAAAAATAAATAAAAATAAAAAAACTGTAGAAGGGCTAGCTACTGAGTGAAAAAGATAAACATAAATTTCAAAACTTTAAGATAGAATGAATGCCTAAGTGATTCAATTAATAGTCTACCTACAATATACGTTCAATAAATAAAATAACCATCAATATTAGATCTTTTTGTACTTTTCTACAAAAATTAAGTAGATACGTAAATACTTACTTAAATATATTTAGATAGATTACATTTTTCTTGAATCTATTGTTTCAAAATGCAAATAAATATTGGCTTTTATTAATATATATATTTTTTTATTCCCGATTTTAATAAATATGATTTACTCGAAAAAAGGACTCCGTGGCGCAACGGTAGCGCGTCTGACTCCAGATCAGAAAATTGCATGTTCAAATCACGTCGGGGTCAATAAACTATCAGTTCATCTTTTCATTTTTTAACGCATCTTTATTTTGCTATTAATTTGTCTGAAATTTAAAAAAATATATTATTACATTAGAATCTTCATAAAACAATCATTGATAGAAAAAAAGTAAAATTTTTGTTTATAATAAAATTCGTTACAAATTATTAGTTTATTCATACTCTTTTCTTTACATTCTTTAAAAAAGTTATTATGTCTCTTAAATTAATATATATGTTTGTTATATACTTTTTACATAGATTATAACATGTATGCACATGTAAGTACTTACGCATTTTCTTTACATTAAAATGCGGTGCGTGCTCACATCCCGCACACAAGACGCGAAATATTAGGATAACATGACTGAACCACCTTTCTCCTCTCTCGTACAGTTGAGCGACATTCGCGCGGGCTGTCTCATTTAGCCCCTCCTTAGATTAGGCTAGCATGTTAGTCGAGAAAGTTACTTTAGCGTAACTAACCTGTCTGTTCTTCTGTACAATACATACGCAGCGTTCCATCCTCGAGTTCAATCTTTGAGTTTTCAAAATAATGATCAATAAATATTACTTTTATGTATAGTTACATTTAGTGTTATACATATTAATTGTGTAAAAGTTATTATATCATTTATATCATCAGCAGTAATTGTGAATTGCTCCATGATTCCACGTAGTGACGATCGTTCCATAAGGCAAGCTCTAGAATTCATTTATCATGCAAGTTCGTATCAAATGTTAGTTACACGTGTATGTGAAGTTGTGTGAGTGTATAAATTATTTATATATATGTTTACAATCCTTCAGTAAATCTGTAGTTAGCAGGTAGAATGGACATAATCAACAATTTAACCGATCCGTAAACAGGAGCGCATAAACTATGGTAGATATTAAACGTAGTAAATGATACTTTCATGTACATCATGTTAGCCGCGGATTGGAAAGACACAATTTTGAGGAAGAGCCGACGGATCTTAAGCACCTCTGTGACGTAGCAATACTTCATTGGGTCACACAATTTTTTTTCATTGTTTATTAATTCGTTAACCCTGTATGGTCAGAAATTTTGGTAAATCTGTATCTCCTAATGTATTTCCAATATCAATACACATCCTGCCGCTTTGGAATTTTGCTTGTTAATGCATTATGCCAATGTCCTAACCTTACCTGTACGGTGCAATGTACAATTACGGGACAGTGACACCGTTTTTCCCCAAAATTGGAATTAATAATGTGCTTTTTTTCATGCATATCTACATATAGGTAAAACTCCTTGTAAATCTTAAACATTTCTCCGTTCTCTTTCATAGAATCAATATGTCAAGATATTCTTCCTAGTTATTCGCGAATGGATCAAAACTTATTACGCTTTCCCCTAAAATTAACATGTGATTCGGAACAATGGTGGGGGATTTGTTTGTACGTAGTGAAGTTTAAAATATATATAGGAACATGCGTATACACACATACACAATTCAATGCTTACACTAGCGCTTCTATCGGTGGCGTCATGAAATTACTGTTGGCTGCATGCGTTCCTGTTGAAAAAATTCCTCACGGGCGAAAGTCATGGTATGACGGAATATCGTAACAACATATTCACTGGTATACGTTGCGATCGTTGTATGATATCCTGATGCTAGGAGGAGCTTTGTGAGACAACCCGCGCGAAACTCTTTTCAACGTAGAGAGAAAGGTAGCTTCCTAGCGGATATGTTTCTCGAATAATTCGAGGCTTGCATGCGGGATGTGAGCACGAATCACGTGCTTTTAATAGGATACGATATTGAAACGATCAATCGTTGAGAATATTTTCCAAGGAAATCTTATTTTTTCTTTCTAAAAATCTCAACTTGTATAAAAAAAACGTGTACTGTTTAATTTATTGAATTTATGTTTTAATTATTATCTAGAACAAAACATTATATTAAAATCATTCTATTTAACTTATGACACATATAAAAATATTATGTTATATGTAGTATTAATTATTACAAATTATTATAAAAATTATTGCAAAAATGTATTTTATTTGATTTCTTTTAATGTCAATACAAGTTGTATGTTAATATTCAATATTCAATATAAGAACCGAACAGAATATATTCTGTATTAAATAAATCGATGATAACAAAGACTCCGTGGCGCAACGGTAGCGCGTCTGACTCCAGATCAGAAGGTTGCGTGTTCAAATCACGTCGGGGTCAAAAATATTTTTTTATTTTTTATTGCAATAATTTTTTATTATAATAATTTGAATATATCTTAAATCAGAATATTTCCATTATTATATCATAAACCACAAAAATCAATTATTTTATAATTGCGATACACAGCAACGAAGATTAGCATTCAAGAAATTCATGTATCATGTATGTATTTATATATGCCAAACATTTAATGTAACGTTACACTTAATTATCATTACTTTCCATACATAAATAGAAAATGTAATTCGTCGCGATCGTAAAAATTCTTTCAGAAGTCATGATATATCTGATCGATATAGTGACTTAAAATTTATGCTGCAGTACTAATTTTTATGAAATGACTATTTTTATAAGAAAAATCTTTAATTGTAACAGAATTAATATAAAATATATATAAATGTAATTAGAGTATATATAAATTCGATAATTACTAATTTAAAGATATTTAAAATTAGATTTTATATGTATCAAGCATTAAATTAATCATAATTTTTAGAGAATTAAAAATATTATAAAAAATATTTAGTTTATCAAATATCTATTACACAACTATAAAATGTGGCGCCGTGGCTTAGCTGGTTAAAGCGCCTGTCTAGTAAACAGGAGATCGGGGGTTCGAATCCCCCCGGGGCCTGAAGAAGTTTTATTTTTCTTTTGAACTTCAATAAAATTATTATATAATGTAGTTCTACAAAATATACGGAATAATATAAAGAAATATAAATGTAAAGAACTGTAATATAAACAACTAAAGATGATTAGAATCCTTATGATCAATTTATTTAGTTATTATAACGTACAAAAATGTTTCCATTGTACATATTGATATAAATAAATAAATAAAATACATGAGGTATAAAGTATGGGACATATCGTATAATGCATTGAATCTCATTCAAATTAATTGAGATAAGTGAATTTGAATTTGAGATAAGTGAACTTCAATTTAAGCAACTTGAAATCAAGTGGCTAACATGGACAATTATAGAAACTTGAAGGAATTTTTCAACTCACTTAAATTTATATAACTTGATTAATCTGAATGAGATTTCATACGTTTTAGAAATTAAATTTATAACCATTTCCGGAAACTTTTACCCGGGCTACCGAAGGTGCTGCAGAATAAGCAATTCCTAGTAAGTTTTGAATTTGTTGTTGTTGTTGCTCTTGCTGTAATTGAATCTGTTCAGGCACCTGAAGAGGATTACTATTAAACGAAAATCATATTTAAATTTTGTGCAATATGAAACTCAAAGTAGTTTTAGCATATTATTCTTACTTGTTGTGCTTGTGTTTGTGCTTGCACGTGTTCTTGAGATTGAGCTTGAGCTTGTCGTAATGCAAGTAATTGCGCTAATTGTGTTTGATGTGTACTAGCTGCAGGATAACTATATAACTGAGGTTGTTGATATTGCTGTAACTGTTGATAAGCCAGTGCAGTAGTTGGATCAACTGAAGCTTGATAAGATAGCGGTGCAGGTGCAGGAGAAACAAAAGTGGACGCAACTGGTGCAGTTGCATAACCATGTGTGACAGGACCCACAGGAAATACTCCTAATGTGGTGAATATACATCAGTCTTAATTAGATTTTAAAAGTATCTAATATTCTAAATATGCTACAAACCTAAGCCAGGATTTCTATAAGCAAGTGCATTAGCAACGTTTGGGAGAACTCTTTGTGCTAAATGAGGATTTCCAATACTGGAACTGAATGATTGATGAGAACTAGGGCCACTAAAAGCGAAGGCTGTTTGCGTTAAACCTGGTCTAACAAAGCTGAAAGATGCATGCTGATCAGAAGTGCCAAGTACATTTGTTGGTTTTACACCTTGAATGGGTGGTTCGGCATACACCGAAAGAAGTGTAACATAAAAAAGAATTATGTGTTTCTGAAAAGAATAACTTTCATTAAATCATGCAATGAAAATAGTAACATAGCAATACTTACCAACATTTTATGTAATTGTATAAAAACTTTAGATTTCACAGTAGAATAAACGATAGTATTATCACCAACGAAAATCAGCAAGCTATTCTGACACTAAAAGATACTCTGTGAGGAGTTATATATCACGGAAGCAGCCTGGTTGATACGTGACTAGCATGACATCGACACATTTTCTATACATACAATCACACTTTCTCCGAGGTATCGAGATGTCACATTTCACGAATAACAATCATTCGATATAGTTTTCCCTTTGACAGAACATCATGATGTCATGCAATATACAATAATTAAATTTTAAAAACACAAAAGAGATAGGCAAAAGGACTTCGTTAAAATTCTTAAAATTACTATAAAAGATCACAACATTAACAAATAAAATTATTAATTATTGTACATAAAATTTTAATGAGCACTTTGTACAGAAATATATACAAGATTTTAATTAAATATTATTAAAGCGAATACGTACAAGGCAGCAAAATATTTTTGTTTGATTCGCTTATGATCGTAACATTATCGATGAAAGTTGCTTTCAGTCGAGCCGGTACGCAGACAATTGTAATCATTTTGTCGTTCGTGGAATATTAAATAGATTATTTTACTGGCAGTGATTCATTTATGAGACACATTCATCACTTATTTTTAATTGTAAAACACTTTTAAATTCCATTTTGTTTTTAAAAATTTATAATACGTCGTGTAATAAAATGTTCTCCTAAATTTTTATATAAATATTAAATATTATATATAGTATCCAATAAAAAGATCAAAATGCGAAGACGTAGTTGTCTATTTAAAATTTTATAATTTCGACATAGTATTTACATATATAATAATTGTAAGATTTTTATTGCTATGCATATTATAAAATTTTTAATGTTAATATTAACATTTCCATTAGACAGCCAGTATTGTGCGTACCTTAACATAGGTACATTTTTCAAAATAAATCATTTTGAAGATATAATTAAATAATCCAATGGTCTTAATATTGATAAACAAACTAACGACGGAAATTTGTGCGAAATGACAATAAACACTCCCTTCCATAGTATTGTTTTACATACTAGAAAAGTACGATTGATAAAACATACCCATAGCAGTAGTTGCAAACAACGCAAAACAACTCCACCATGTTGCTAAACCTAATAATCCCCTATATACATCCATGGTGAATATCTGTTGTATAAGAAATGTTCTTAGTAAATATTAAATAATAAAAATCGAATAACTACATTGTAACTATTACCTGTTTTAAGGAACTCAGAGCCAGTTGGAAATCTTGCGCCGTTTGCACAACAGTTTTCTCAGTATCATAGCTATTCACTACATCTGATAAAGATTTTGGTGGATCGTCGGCTGGACATTCTTCAAGTGATGAACCTTTTAAAAGGCCTTCCCATGTATAACCACCTACGAACGAAAGTAATTACAAAATCATATTTGCAATCAATTAAGTATTCTTATTACTATTTGTATTACCTAAAGTCTTATACATGAATGTAAAAAATAGACAAATAATTATTGGAACAATAAACTGTAAAGCCACAACACACAAATAGTAAAATACCGCAGCAATCTGAAATAAATTATAAGATTAATTATATTTTCCTTTATTCAATATTATATATCATTTACAATACCTTTTTCTGTAGATCTACATTTGTAATTCTACCAGCTTCTTTCTTTTGGTTCTCTAACCGTTGCGTAGCTAAATTGAGATATGATTGCAAGTACATTGGCATTAAAACAAATTTTAACAAGACTGCAACAATAATTGCAATTAATCTCATACTCTCAAAAGCTGAAGTTGTCATCCTGTAAACATGCATCTATAAAGAGAAACTTGGATGGATAAGTGTGTTATAGAAATCATTATTTCTTAACTTACAATGGTCCATTCATACCACTGAATATTCTGACTGTGAGATAATCTCTGCTTACAGGCTTAATCCATAAACTTACTAATAAAAGTGGAGAAGCATAACTGATATTTGCTATTAACAATAATAACTTTTGGTCTTTATAATATCTGAAATATATCATTTTCTTAAATTGCATAATTGCAAGATTTATGTAATATTAATACCTTAATGCATCCCAATGCATTTTTGACACTCTCAATCCTGGGAAAGTGAACAAAGAACCAAGTAAACCACACCACAAAGCAAGAAAAAACTTTACTACAATTTTTGATGCTGGTCCCCTGTAAAAGAAGAGTTATTTTATTATTAGAATAAAATACAAATATAATCAGTTGAGCACACACCATTGAGTGCTTAAACTTACGTGGAAGAAAGACCTTGGTTATCTAAAAAAAGGGATGCACTATGATTAAAACTTGCATAAGCTTTATCCAATCCAATTTCAAGATTGTTTTCATCAACAATAAGAACCATCATAGCTATAAGAAGATAAGCAAATCCAGTTACAATACATGTAGACCTTTCACCTATACTCTCCTCTCCCTTAAAGTATTGCACCCAAAGAGAAAGTAATACTTTGCTATGTACTAGATAAGGAAAATATGTAATAATTTTTGAAATTATGTACTTTAACAATAATATAAATCAATCATAAAAAGGATACAATGCAAAACCCAGAACTAGTGAGCACCAAAGCATACTTAGATTAATTTCGTCTTTGATTGGATATAAATAATTATATATCTGTGAAATAGGAAATAAATATAGCTATACAGTATTGTAGAAATAGAAGTATAAAAGAAAAGAAGCTATAATTACCAACCTCTGTCATGATATAAACCACAGTAGCATAGATAGAAAAATCCAATAACCACTGATACTCTGTATAATATTTTAAATGCACTACATCTAACGTAGTTATTTTAGCACTTTCAAGCGTAATATCCAAATTTCTAGGAACATGAAACACATCTCCAACCTTTCCATTCTCTGTATGTTTACCTTTTTTGGATTTCTCTTTAGGCACACCAGCAAGAGTTCTAAGCTGCTGATCAGTTGGATATAAGTAACGTGTCAACCTATTAAATTGATATATCTTATATTAATTGTTATACAGTTAGTATTCGCATTATTTAAAAGATTACCCAGTAGAACATAAAATCCATCTTGCCAAAGAAAAATGCGGAGTCACTTTTTGAATAACACTGACCATAATCAGTGTTATAACTAACTGAGCACCTAAGAGAGCCTAAAACATTCAATGGATTATTTAGAACAATACAGAATCTTTAAATATTACCATATTCTTAAAATAACCTTCAAATAATTACCATAATTAAATTGATGAAAAATTTAAAATAGAGATGGGATCACCAATTTCACAAAGGTATTTGTCCCATCACGGAATTTGTAATTTCTTGGCAAAGTGTTAAAATTAATGCTGAAAGATACAGCAATGAATTATCTTCTGCTTAATGTCGTTAACGTGCATTTGACCATTTTAAATAGAACATAATGAAATAGCTCATTTTATAAATAGTTATAAGCCCAGAAAACTGAAAACATCGTAATCCTTTTGCATGGGATATGAGGTTATTTCCAGTTTCTCTCTCACCTACTCTATCTATAGAAAGCAATAGTTTTCGGTAGTAAGAACTGTGTTTGACGGTAGTAAGAACATCTAGCGGAGAAAAATCGAAATATATCGATGTTACTAAATCATTTATGATCGAATCCAACTTGTCCAATCGCTAATATCCGCAGAATTATTTGTTTAGAAAAAAAAAATTGGTTCTACAACTATTAATATAAACTAAGAAATGAATAATCAAAAAATTAGAAATTAATAGTTGTTTAGAAGATGAACTTGCTAGGTTTTAGCTATCTTCATTCAACTGAAAAACATGACAGAAAATCGAGTTTTTAATAAATATAAATCAGGATGTCAATATTTAATCTGATGTACTTCTGTTGATTATCGTTGTATTAACATGAAACAATAATACCATCAATTCTCAGTCTTACATGTACATTTTCAGAATCTGATGCGATCTCGCATCACGGAATTTCCATTGAATTGATTGCGTAATAGTGCAATTATAAACGGATGATCCTTTATTGCATTTATCATTTACATATCGAAAGCGTCAATTATATGATTCATTCCATGTTAAATGTTTATCAAAAAGACCATAGAATTTAATCACGAAATCTACTGCGTAATTTTTTAATAATACCATATATGAACTATTTTAATTGGTAAATTATTTTTTTCTTTTATTTACAAAAAAATACTCTGTGTCAGATTATTGTTCATAAAATTGCATTTTCAGAGTAATATAAGCAATTTGATATATATGGGATCGTGTCAAACGTATATTTTATTCGATAAGAAATACGCGCGAATTATTTGTTTAAAGAAAAAGAAGTGGTGGAAGCGTTGATATAAAAACAGACTCACCGGTTTATGCGATCAAATGTGAGGAAGTGTTTGCTGAGTGCAGGCAGCATAAAAAATGTAAGTGTGCACGTATATTTGTCTCAGAATTAAGAGTTCTTTTTCAACAAAAAAAAAAAAGAAAAAAAGAGAGTAGGAAAAAATACATTTGAGATTAATTAGAAGTGGAATAAATAATTATGTTTGTACACGTATAGTAACTATAGAATCCCCATATCTTTAAAATTTATAAAAATTTTTTAAAAGAGATTATTTAAAAAATTATTTATTGTGTGCATTAAATTCTACCAAATGTAAATATCGAAGAGATCACTGTGATAATTTAACTAACATTTCCATATTAAGATTTTCTACTATAGCTATATACAATTTTTTCTCTTTTTTTGTCGTATAACGATATTTATTCTGAATTTAACTTTCAAATCGCTCATAATTATGTGCTTTAAGTTTAGATATGTCGCATTAATTATGAAGTTTTTTTTCCAAAACAATTTGTTTTATTACGCTTCATCGTAACTATATAATTTGTTGGTATTTTATCAAAAATTAAAGAAAGTTAAGCATTGTACATTTCCTGTCTATAATTATAGTCAACGTGTTACTCATAAACTTCTGACAAAGATCGCTCCATATAAGACGATTCTATGTAACATTTTACATTTTACAAAAAAAAAAAAAAAAAAAATGCAACTGATTCTGTATACAATTATTTTTATAGGGCTCATACATAATATTGAAATTATTGTAAGAGAAAGAAAAGTAAAAAAAATAAAGTGTATTTTCGTTGCAGGAGTCAGCGAGCAAAAATAACAATGATGACGCCAATTTTTGTGCTTTCTGTTTTTTTATTCGCACTGGCATATCTCTGCAACGCACAAGCTAATGAACTGGATTATACATATTGTCAAAGTAATTCAGAGTGTCAACCAGGCTATTGTTGCACTATAGGTATTTATCGCATTTTAATAAAATATTAATGTCTATAATGAATCGAAGGTAATTATTAGTTTAAGAAAAGAAATCTTAGTGATCAACATACAATTTTAGGGCCAATAAGATATAGTATACCACAATGTAGACCTATGCAAGAAGAAGGAGACACATGTAGACCAGCTAGTGCCTCAACGATTAACATGACCGTTGGATATCCAGATGGTTCTGAACTCACATTAAACAATGTCCATTATATTCTTTGTCCTTGCGCCGATGAACTGTCATGTGATGTCAAAGAAGGTGTTTGCAGGGAAATAAGCAAAAAACGTGATACAAATCGATTGTCCGCTAAAAATAAAAAGCAAGACGATTGACACAAGGCTAAAAGGAAATAATTCTTTATTACGAAGAATGACTACAAAGAGCTGAAGAATGACTACAGCAAATGGTGGAAAAACCCGGCACGTAGATCGCATCTGTATAATTAAATTGTGTACCAAAGGACTAAATTAATGCTAAGTTAGAACTTACTGATATAAGATTTGAAATTTCTTCAATAAGTGTAATCGTTAAGAAAAATATCAATGAAATTTTGTATCATTAACTAAAATTAAAATAGGCTCACAGATAGAATAGAATCATACGGGTCTTCGTATCTCGTTCTGAAGTAAAAATTTTTTGAACCTCGACAAAAATTAAAGTGTTTCTTACATCTGCAATTTACTATCTTAGTCAGTATTATTGTATTAGTAACTATGAAAAGAACTTCAATGGAAATCATTAACAAGGATAAGATAGAGCTAACATACTATTTTGTTCTGAAGTTTAATCTGAAAATAATGAATTCCTACGTATTATACGCTTTTTTTTATTACCTATTAATTTTTATTACCACTTGTTTTCAATAAAGAAATAACAATTGTTTACATATTTACGCGCATTTCCGAGCATATATATTCAACTGTTTTCGGACGATTCTGACTGCCGCGCCGACGCAATCATTGCGCGCCAGTACAAATCATTGCGCATTGCGTAATTCATTGTATTTCATAAATTTGTGAAAATAACTTGACAATATAAACGGATTATTAGAAGTATAGACATTTGCGTAAAATTTAAGTTGGGAGTATTTTAAATCATTATCCTCTTCTGGCTTGTCTCTCTCGTTTATCAAATAAAACACAAGTGTTCTCGCGATTACAGTCACGATGCATTAAAATTGAGAAATACATATTAAGAATACATTATGTAAAAAATTTTTAATTTAAAAATTTTAAATTCAATTGTATCATAATACAGACATATAGTATAGAATTCTATACTTCATTTACACTTATAAAATATTTTGTTCTATATGTTATACACACGAGTTATATATGTACCATTACGTACTTCGTGTTTGTGATTGACTGAGTCGATAATGTCGCATATGACACGAAAATAAAAACATACTGAATGTCAGATCTATTCTATCTTTAGTTAATGGTTATTCTGTAATAGTGGTAAAAAATTTTCAATGTTGCTAATTAGTATAATATTTTGTTATTTTGTGTTAATATAAATTAAAAAAAAATATTTTACGGTATGGACAGTCAAGTGTGCAGAGACGGTAGATTATTAGATTTAATTGACGAGATTTGGCATAAAGAACGTTTGCCTATTGACGATATTGTAGTACCAAATCAAGAATTACCTGACCCCGAAAGTGACAATGGAGATTCTCATATGACATTGAAAGAATTAGAACAAAAGTGGAATAATCTAGCTTTAGGAACTCTCAGTGAAAATCACTTACATTCACCAACACCATCTCATAATTAGATGTAGGTAATAACTTGCATAAGAACTGGATATAAGCAATTAGTTTTGTTATTCTTCTGCTCACAGACTGTACATGTTTTGTTATAGAGAATGGAGTTTCCAAATCTTGGGGAGAGATGTTCAATCAAAGATTGCAAACAATTAAATTTTTTACCATTTGAATGCAATCATTGTCATAATTTATTTTGCAAAGAGCATTTTCATTTAGGTTCTCATAAATGTTTAGGTTTCAAAGATAAAATCACATACACTAAAATAAAGGCACCAAATTATAAGTGTTCAGATGAATCTTGTAAAGAAACTTCACCCATTGAAATGCAATGTATCAAATGTAAGAAACACTTTTGTTTACAACATAGATATCATGGATGTTTAGAATATACTAATGAAGAAAAAACAACAAAATTAAAAAAATGGCAAATACCAAAAAAACAATTTGCTGAAGCAAAAGCTATAGTAGATCAAGAAATTTCAGATACTTTGAAGAAATCCAAAAATACTACAATGGCCAATAAAGTATGAGCTATATATAATACTCTAGTATTTGGGAAACAAAATTTGTTGCGAGGCAAACTGCAACCAATTGTTCATTTCTGTGAAAAATGATCTTCAAGATTTTCAACTTCAGTGATCCAAAATATCTCCGAAATAACAAATTTGAACGAAAAATTTTGCTTCCTTGATACTATGATATATTCAAATATGTTATAATAAAATTTAAAAAGAAAGTTATATATTGATGAAATATAAAGAAATATTATATATTAATGTATTTAATTATTATTTAATTAGGTAAGGCTTATGCGTATAAAAGGTTCTGCTGTTGGTCCAAAAAATGTACCAATGAATGAAAGATGTTATTTTCTTGTATATNTTATATAAATAAATATTTACAAGAAGTAATAACAATTTACTTTTTGCTCTTAGAATATGATTTATAAGTATAATAATCTATTGGTAGTGGTAAGAACACAGTTTTAGAATAATATTTGTTTATTACAAACTAGATAGTTTTATATATATATATATATATATATATATATATATATATATATACATTTATATATATATATATGTTTTACATTTACTCTTGATAAAAAGACACGCAGATGTACTATGTATGTACTTAATAAAGAAATCATTTACACCAGATTATTGTCAAGTTTGTTTCAAATAAAATAATGATGATGCTTTGACTTTGGCACTGGACGTTCTTTTCTTTTTTGACTTACTTGAATTACACTAATATAGCATAATAAAAGAATCAGTAATATCGATTCAGAAATGACTATGTACTTATTAATAGTCTTGTAATATAAATTACGTGTAAATATTAAAAAAGATAAATATATAGCAAGAGATATTGAGTAATGTTCTTAACCATGTGCGTGTTTTAACCGCATCAGTATTTTATTATATTTTGGCGAATTAAGTAATTGATACTAGTCATAAAATCATAAAAGTTTCACATAGTAACACACACGGTGAAATAATTATGTAAATATATAAAAAATCATAAATCTCTTATGAATTGTATCTACTTCTTAAGCTGTTTAATGTAAGTCTTTTGTAGGACATTTAAAGGCTTGATGTTCTTAATACTTATAGTACTATTACATATAATGTGCGAATAATGTTTTAAAATTTTGATGCAAAAATTACCAACCAATTTAATGTTATAAACACATACCTTTTAAGAATTATATGTAAGAATCAATGTTTTTATAAAATCAATTCCGCTTATTTTAATATATATATAATTTATATATAATCTTATGTCAATTGAAACTTCTTTTTTGTTGAGTAATTTTTGCAACAAATTTTATATGTAACTAAATGTGTAGATTGAATAATATTCGCTTTCAGATATTCTACCTTAAATTGGATTTCTATAGTTTAAACATAATCAGCCTGTAAATTGTATAAAATTTCGAAAAAGAAAATATATAACTATCATTTAAATATATGATAATAAAGATTCGATAAAGATATAAAATAAGTTAATAATAGAAAAAAAAATAATTAGAAAACTAGAATAATATATAAAAAAAATAAAAGCTAGCCTTTGCTTAAATATACATGGAAATAGTTTTTGAAATAAAGTACGAGTCTGATTAAAGAAAGAATGCATACTATGTATACAGAGATTGCAAAAAGAACAAGTAATGTCATCCGGACATTTACATTTGTTTCATTATCTTGGCCTCTTGTTCGGCCATTGGCCACCTGCCTGTTGGGAGGAGAATGAATCTGATAGCGGTAGGTGGCCTGAAGTCAAGCTCAGGAATGCCAACGAGACTTTTGCAGTTCAATTTGACCTTCTAATGTTTTGGCAAGATAAATGACAAAAAGTTGACTAAGAGCTATACCTAAAGCAATACCAGCTATTGTGTACAAATTACGTTCAGCCCAACTTCGTACAATTTCGATGCAACCACTAGTCCATACTTTCTTGCCTGCTTCAGATACTGGTAGCATTTGTACTTTATAGCCACACATTATATTCACAAGACCACTCTAAAAATTCCAATGATATTTTAAATTATATATTCTCACTAACAAAATGTAACAAACACTTACTGATATATCTGTAGCATTAATGCAACATGAAAATGGTGCACCACACCGTTCTACACTAGGACTGGAGCAATTAAAATATTCATTTTTTCCCCAATCCAAATATCCTTCTTGACTTAAGCCACAACACCTAAACTGTTTGAAAATAATAATTTTTCAAATATTAGAGTAACACATCCTAATAAATGTTTCTTTATATCCTTACTTTTTGTTGTCCAAAATCAATAAAATTTTGTAAATCAGGATCTTCCCTATAAGTTTGTATGATTTTATCTGTAAATGATTCTTCCAATAATGATTGCAATGTGTGTGGGAATACAAAACCAACAATTGCAATACCCATTTCAAGAAGGAAGAATACCAATAAACATAATGAATACTGAAATAGATAAGTATTATCTGTTTATTAATAATTAATAATGTAATTAATATGACAGCATATATCTGACAATACTTACAAACTTAAGAAGACAAGTATTTTCACGTAATGCTCCAACACATCCTGCAAAACTAACAACAAAGACTACTCCTCCTGCAATAACCATCACAAGTGATATATTGAGGATCACATCATATACATTTTCCACTCTAACAGAACCCGTTGCTTGCCATTTATCCACAAATGCATATAAACCTACTCCAATTAGAAGTCCTCCAAATAACTGCGTGACAATACAAGACAATTAAAATTCCATTCTCGTAAGATTTTTTTATAAATAAAATTTATTTACTAAATAAGAAACAACCGTTTGTATTCCATTTATTAATGATAATAATGATGAGGGGTAATTAATAAAATGATAAATATAAAACATTCACTTACCCAAAAAACAAAATTGAGCATAAATATCATGTACTTCACACAAGAACTAACATAAGTGAAGTTATTTGTTCGCCTTCGATTATTCATCATGGTAAAGTAGAAATTGTTTTATAGAGATATTAATTGGTATGTACAAGAGATTCGCACTTTTAGTTATATATACAAATTACATCGATTGCGTTAGTTATCTCATAATTTCACGTACTTAACGCATATTTGTTACCTTTCCGCTTAATCGTTGATTTTCTGTATAAATCGTATTTGATTGTTCATGAATCAAAGAAAAAACATAATGCACCATACTTTGACAGCTTACTTTGCATCCGCCATTACACTTCTGTTTCTCGTATTCCCCGAATCCAAGTTTGAAATCAGCTGTCTATGTTTCAGCGGAATAAACGGAATACACATTTGTGTATAAACTATCAAACGTGACAAAATTTCAAACGAAAGTGAAATTCCTAGTAATTGGTTAGTTTTAAAATTTTTAATGTTTGTTTCGTGTACATATCTAACAGCAAGATAAAATTTTTGCTTAAGAAACATGACATCTATACAAGACAGTAAGTTTATTTCTGTATCAGAGTTTATGACTTCGAGGTTAACAGGGTAATTAAATATTAATACGTAGTTCCTAAATTTAAACAATAATAGATTGCAATAATATCATAAATCTCGTATATAAATACTAATATCGTGATGATAAATGATATGATATATCGTATATTCGTCTTTATATGATTTTACAAAACGTAAAATCTTTGCTTCTTAACCTATCTAATGTAAACAATCTAGTATTTTAAAATACTAATATTCTGTATCTTAAATATACTTATTTTAAAAGAGTATTGAAAGTGCCTATAAAATCAAGTGTAATTTATATTCATTTGTAGGATTAAAATTAAAAAGATCGTATGATACATGGAGTACTCGCGAACAATTATGTTTAGCTTCCAGTGTATTAAAATCAGGAGACCAAAATTGGATAAGTGTATCACGATCATTGAAAGCAATTGTTGAGAAAGAAACGTTAAGACCACCGGATTGGTTTTCTCAAAAATCTTGTGCTATTCAATATGCACATTTGTTAGAAAATGCAGATACTCCCAAGAGGAAAAAAAGAGAAAGTGGAGAAACTACGGGTGAATCGATAGTTAGAAAATTAACACAAGAAAGGATAGTTGAACTAGGACAAATATTAGCTTTTCAAAGAGACGAATACCAACAACTTAAAACTGAAATGAATATGCTGAAATCTGGATCGATATCAGAGGACAAATTACAAAAAATGTGGCTCGCAATGGAACAGGAAGAACGGGAACAAGAACAAAAGGCAAGAGCACATTCGGTATGGTTAGCAAAACGTCAACAAAAGCAAGAATTAAATTCACCACAAACAATAGCTAATATAAATCAACGTAAATCTGCTGAAAATTCCATGGAAATTCAGGAAACTATAGAAAGTGTGGATGAAGATGAAAAGAAAGCAAGAGGAGGAAGGTCGCCATTATTAACAAGTCTATTAAAATCACCAAGTCCAACGACACAAATTCAAACCTCAACTACTACGGCACAAGTAAGCTCTCCTACAATCACAAGCTTACTTGGTTCCAGCCCTAAAGTACCAAATTCTCATTTAACACAGAATGTGTCTCCACAATTGCATCAGTTGGTTACTTCTGCAATTTCAAGTATATCATCAGAAAGACCATCAGTTGGCGCACCAACCTTATCTATGTTATTAGAAATGCCTGCAAACGCACAAAGAGGCCCTCTACCTAATTTACAGTCAACTCCAACTATTGTATCTCAACAAAATGTCCCTACTGAAGTTCATAATCTCCAACCTCAACCTGTTCATCAAGTTACAATACAAAATGAAACACCTATACCCGCTCAATCTCTTACAATTAACAATACAAATATTCCATCTACAGAAAGCATGGTACAGATTATAGATCATATAGATGATGTAATACGTAAAGATATAATGGCCGATGTAATAGACAAGGATGAAATTAATGAAATTATTGGAGATATAGAAGAGTTGATAAAAGAAGAAATTACTGGTAGTCCACAAACTTTAGATACAACTACATCAACTATTAATACCCTCACTGTTCCTCAAATTCAAGAAGTACCAGTGGTAACAGAACGACCAGAACCTAGAGATGTAGATGAAGTTGTATCACTTTCTAATTCACCAGAAAGTGAAATGGCTATTGAAGAAATTGATTCCAGCACATCAAATATTGCAGAAATTATAGGGACAGTGGCCATTGAACCACAAGAACCTAAAGTTATTGTTGCTGAAATGTCTGAAACTATACCAAATACATCTGAAGAAATAAAGTCTGAAAAAAGTTCATGTTATGAAAGAGTAACATTAAATGAAGAGCTGGTTTCTGAATTAGACCCTCAAGATGGTGAAAATAGCAAAGATACTCCACTAGAAGAAAAACAAATTGTTGAGGAATTTGATACTATGGATTCTACTTCAAATGTAGAAGCTGAAGAAAGTGATTCAAAAATACCTACAAAAGAGTTAATGGATGAAATAGCAGAAGATGAAGTAGAAGAAGAAGAAGAAACTGATACAGTAATTGTATCAGAAATTAAAGATTCACCTACTAATAAACTACAAAGGGTGTGCTCTGAAGAATTAGAAAATAAAGGCAATATGGAATTGGATCAATTAGAAATGCATCTTGCTAAAATTACAGGTGAACAGCAAGATGTTCCATCAGCAGAAGTTGTTAGTGTTTCATCTGAAGTAACAAATGATCTTCCTAGTACTGAGGATACAGAAAAATCACAAGATATTAGTTTAATTTTAGAAGATGATGAAAGTAGTTCTGATGATAAAAAGAAAATAACAGAAGAACAGATAATAGAAAATACAATTGAAAGTACAGAATCTATTGAATCATTCAAAGAAGAACCTATAATTGTAGTCAAAGAAAAAACTATTATAGAAGTAAGTGAAGAATCCCCAGAAAAATCTCACGAAGAACAAACAGAAGAAACTTTAGAAATTTATACAGATGAATTTAAGAAAGAAGATACAAAAGATTCTTCAGAAGATACTACAAGCTCTATTTTGCAAGATATAGAAATAAAAGAAGAAGAAATAGAAGAAACAACAATTGTAGAAGATTCTACTCAGTTGGTATCACCAGAAGAAATAGAAAATTCAAAAACAGAATCTGTAGTTCCTATTAAATCTGAGTTTGATATTTCCATTATTAAGAAAGAAGAAAATACATATGAAGATTCAAAAATAGAAGAAGAAACAAAAATTCAATTGGAAAGTACTTTGGTGTCAGATGTGCAGAAAGAAACTCAAATAAAAGAAGAAAAGGAAGAGAAAAAAAGTATAGACAGTGAACAAAATGTGAAAAAAGAATTAGAATCTATAATAAGTGCTGGAGAAGATACTACTGAATTAGATGAAGAAGAATCACCATTAAGCAAATTAAATGGAGGACGCGCTATGAAAACTTATTCAAAAAAGCAAAATGTTTCTATTGATAGTGAACCTGAAAATGAAGGTACTGGAGAAGGTGCAGATTATAGAGCATGGAAGAAAGCAGTCATGTTGGTTTATAATCGACTTGCCACACATAAGTATGCATCTGTATTTTTGAGACCTATTACAGAAGATCAAGCACCTGGATATCATTCGGTCATCTTCAGACCTATGGATTTGTCTACTATTAAAAAAAATATAGACAATGGAACAATTAGATCTACAATGCATTTTCAACGTGACGTTATGTTAATGTTTCAAAATGCTATTATGTATAATAAACATGATACATTTATTTATAAAATGGCAGTTTCAATGCAGGAAGAATGTCTGCAGCATATGCAGGTAAAAATAGAAATATATGCTTTGTTTACATATAATTAATATTTTCAAGAAATGTAACATAATTTAATTTCTGTTTAGATATTGGTACAAGTTACAGGGGATGGAACACTTAGGAGAGAAACAAGAACTGCAGCAAGTAGTAGTAGTGAGGCTAGTGAAAGTAGTATAAAAAGAAAACGAAGTCACATCACCCCAAGTCCTCATGATACAGACAGCCCACGTTCAAAAAAACGTAGAAAATCAGAGAATGATTAGAAAATTTTCCTATCTATGTATATACATATGTATAATGTGATAACATATTAAAGTTCTTAAGAACTTTATTGGAAAGAAAAAAATGAAAGAAAAGATAAATTGTGTTATTGGCATTGAGGGATAATGCTGGATGTGCAAAATGTATGAGGTCTATAAAAAGAAATATAATAGTCTGAAATTTTGTTTTGTTATTTTTAAATTATAGTAGTACAGTAAAGTAGATTTTATATTAATAATTACAAAATTTGACTTTTTTTTAAACTTTTATAACTATATATTAGATGTAATAATAAATAATGAAAATAATTATTTGTTAATTTTAAATAATTATTTTTAAAAAATTTAACATTTTCATTTAAAAGAAACTTAATAAATATATTTTATAAAATAACTTTTTTTTAATATTAAATAAGAAAAGATACGTACTAAATAAACATTTTAAATTATAGCTTATAATGCAACTTTTTTCTACCATAATAAAAAAAAGCCTGCCATTTATTCCAAATACAGGTCTTTCTTATGAACATTTAAATTTTGAACACAAAATACAAAAAAATCATTAGTGTAACAAATATTAAACATATGTAGGAAATTAAAATTTTATAAATGTATAATTTTTGACAAAATTTACATAAAATATATAATGGGTTATTACGCCAGCGGCGATACACGAAAAACTATACAGACTTCCGAAGATGAAGGTTATGAAAATCAATCATCCTATACTACAATATCTGTTGAGGTATTAAATCAATTAAATATTAAAGATAAACAGTACTTTATATTTAGAATTTCTCAAAATATTGTAAGTTACTATTATTAGAAATGTGTACTTTTATTTTTTAAAGAATATTCTTATTTTTTAAGTCACCGGCACCACCAATATCCGATGACACTGATCGACCATTTTGGGCTGAAGATGAATTAAGTACTTCTGAATCAAAGCATCAGTTAAACGAGAAACAGAAACGTCGACGTAGCTCGTCTTATCGTAATCGTATCGCTGTACACAGAAGCCGATCTTTACTTTTTCAATCATCAAGTTCTAGTTTAGATTCACTATCTGAACAAATTTCACCTGGAGGTACTTTCTTATTAATATAAATATACATACGTATATTTATTTGTAACAATAAAATTTACATATATTTATTTATTTAAAACAAATAAATTCTATATAATTTTAACATAATTACCATAGTTCATAAACAGGAACGATATACAAGCCGATTCAGTGTAGAACAACCTGGCTACAATAATGTAAAGAAAAAATATAATGTACGTAAGAGAGGAACTTCTTTCTCAAATAACGATAAAATTAATTATACAAGATATAAAACTTTCAATTAAAAATAAACGCAGAAACATCATGCATTTGTAATAAATAAAAAATTTTACCAAAAGTAAATTGTTTAGCACCGCCTTAAGTAATGACATTTTTTTTCAATGTTAAATCAAACTACGGTATATATGTTCATTATTTCCTTTTTTTTTTATTTGTTTGTTTTAAAGAATTTGTCATCACATTTGATTTTCATATTATTATAAATAGAGTTTAAGTGGTTATTAAGTGATTGTAAACAAGAATAATTATAGTACTCGATAAACATATTTGCATCCTGTTACAAATCAAATAAGGATTGTATATATAAAACTATTTTGAAATAGAATTAACGGACAATTAAGAAATTGAACATATTATCAGCTATGTACTTTATAACCAACGATCGAGATAAAAATGAATATAAGAAGCTTGGCAAACTTCGAATTCGTAAGTTATTTTACTAGAATTAACATAAATAATACATATAATAATTTGAAAAATATGCATTTTTATAAATGTCTTTTGCTTAATTTGTTTTTTTATGTGCAATTAATATTGACAAGATATACATGTAACTCTACCGCCATATTACATTTTATCAGGCGCTAAATATTTGAAATTTAAACTTCGAATATACCTAATAGATCAACAACATATGTGTCAATGTTCTTTTTTTAAATTTCAGAAACAACATTACATCCTGCTTTTACTTTAATCTTTTTGGGCTTTTGTATGATATTTTTAATATTATCAGCATGGAATTTCAATAATACATTAAATCGGACAATTACTAGTCATGTATTTTATCTAAATTCAAGACAACCGCTTGTACATACTGTGTCAGACAAATTTTTGTCATTCGGTCTTGATACATCATTACTTCGTGATATGAAAAGTCTCCCAATAAAAGATAATAAATTTATAAATTTAGCTCGACACCTTGCACCAGCTTATGTTCGAATAGGCGGTACATCTGCAGACTGTCTTCATTTTAATCAAGTTGGTCTACTATTATAATATACATATTTGAAGATTAAATACTAATTACTTAAATACCAATTAAATTATATGATATAGACAACACAAATAATATCCGAAGAAGTAATTAGTTTGGTGGACGGCCAAGATATAAGTAATTTTACAATTAACGGGATGGACTTTGAAAATTTATACAAGTTTGCTACAGAATCAAAATTGCGAATGATATTCGACTTGAATGTACTAATTAGAGCTGATAATGGATCTTGGGATGATATTAATGTTAAAAATATAATTTCATTTGCCAAGAATAAAAATATGAAACTAGATTGGCAATTAGGAAATGGTAAGCATTTTATTTATTTTTTTTTTTTAAATATCATATTATTTTATTTTTAAATTTAATCATATTCCTTTTATTTTTAAATAAATTTATAATAAAATTTCAGAACCAAATTCTTTTCATCATGTATTTAACAGAAATGTTAGTGCAATTCAACTTGCACATGATTATCATCAATTAAGGCAGTTATTAAATGAAGTAGGATATAATGAAAGTCTTCTTGTGGGTCCAGAAGTAAATCATGTAGGGGATATAGATCATAAGGGAGAGTATTATGCAAAAACATTTTTAGAAAATGATAAAAATAGTGTAAACTATGTTACTTGGCACCAATATTATCTAAATGGAAGAGAAGCTCAACTAACTGACTTTATAAATATTTCAACTTTTAATTATTTACCAAAACAAATTAAATCTATGCAAGAAGCAATTAAATCATCAGGGGAACTTATTCCTATGTGGTTATGTATGTAACTATCATGTAGTCATATTAATCTATTTTAAATACAGCTTAAGAAGTGAAAAAGATTCTTTTGTAGCAGAAACAAGTACAGCTTATGGTGGAGGGGCTCCAGAATTGTCAGACAGATTTGTGGCTGGATTTTTATGGCTTGATAAATTGGGATATAGTGCCATTGCAGGATTGAATGTTGTTACCAGGCAATCATTATTTGGTGGAAACTATGCTATGATTGGGCCTGATCTTATACCAAATCCTGATTGGTGGGTTAGTGTAATTTTTAAGAAGTTTGTTTCAGAAAAAGTTTTAAGATTATCAACATCTCTTGAATATTTACGATTTTACGCACATTGCACTCCAAAAAAAGCATGGATTGGCAAAGTTTCAGCAATTACAATATATGGAAGTAATCTAGCTAACTTTTCTGTTCCTATTAGTATTCAAGGAATTCCTATATTTCACAGAAATGCTAAAGCTTTTCTATATGTACTTACTTCTGACAGTTTACAATCAAGGTATGTAATAATTATTTTCCATAAAAATAAATTATGTAATGTTTATTTCAATTGTTTTTAGAACAATAAAAGTAAATGGAGAAATATTAAAATTGCAATCTAATGGAAATTTACCATCATTTCAACCTATTGTATTTGAACCTACACAACAAATTACTTTACCATCTTATTCCATGGTATTTATTGTAATACATGGTGCAAAGGTTCCAATATGTTATATATAAATAAATTTATGCTGTATATAAGTAAATTCAATTAAATTATTTTATATTTCCTATACATTAAAAATTTATATTATAGAATCTCACAAAACATTTTACAATCATATTAGTAAAGAAAAATTAATTGAACAATTACAGAGACTATGAGTGTGTATGAATATGCACGTATATATGCAAACTATATTAATTCTATTTGATATATGTATCTTATCATAATTAATAACATCTGGTGTATCATAATACAAAGACTAACTATATAAGATTTCTTTTTATAAACATTGTGCCACTTTCAATCGGCCATTAATATATTACAACATTGTTCCATTATTGAAAGATATTTAAAGTAGCATATTTGCTTATTTATTTGCTATTATACCGTATTATATTCTTTTATAACTATAAAACAAAAAATTTTCTTAGAAATTATACATTACAAATACTACATAAAGACCATACCATATACACAAGAAATATATAAATACTGAAAATAGTACAATGTTAGGTAAATGGAATGATTAAATTCATCATTATATTACAGGAAAATATTATTGCATGAAATTAAAATCAATATTACAATTAAGTGTATTTAGAAAACTAACAGCATTAACCAATTTAAATGTATATTATACATATACAAATTATTGCAACTGAAAATGTATTTGACAACTTATTGTGTTATAAGATACTATGGTATGTATGTACATAATATGTAATATTATTATATATTATTCTTGAGCTGAAATAGTAATTGTTTTTCCTTTGGGATCATCAAATCTATCCATTGTACGTATATCTATAATCATGGTAAGAGCCCAAATCATAATTAAAGCTAATATGGCAGTAACAAATATACCTGCCCAAATTGGAATTGTAGTAAAACCGATACAATCATACGCATCACTAAATACTTTTTCACCATCTTTTGCTAATTTTGTATAAAGTTGTACTTGTAAATTTGTTATATTTAAAATTGTAGAACTATTTTCAAATATAATATTTTGTGAACAATGATAAGAGAAATTAAATGGAAAAACAATTGTTGTATTTGTTGTTAAATTTTTTTCATTGACAGTTGCGTCAGAAAATTGGTAATTAACTGTTTTAAGTGTATAATATCCTGGAGTTTCAACTTCAAACATAAATGCAAGTGATATAGAATTAGGTATATTAAACTTCATTGATAATTTACATGAAAGTGGTGTTTTACCTGAGTCATCAGAAACTGTGGGCTTAAGTGGAAGTTCTATTTCTGTATTGTTTCCAAGCTATCAAATATAACAATTATTATTATCTTTTTTGTTTTACTTTTATTGTAAAGAAAAAAACTTATAATTATGATTACCTTCAACAATAATGGTTTACTAGCATAGAATAACACTCTGTCTGATGCAACAATAAAAGGTTCAGTAGTATTATTTACATAAGTATCCCTTTTTATTCGCTCAGAACGTCTATAACTACAGGCTTTTCCTGTAAGTATAGCTATCAAATTGGGACTAGAATCCTTTATTGTCTTGTACGTTTCTGGAATAACATCTAAATTACTAATTGGCACAATCAGTAATTGCCCATCAGATATAGAATCGACATAATCATTATAGGTTTGATTATATGAAGGTAAGTCTTCAATGGTATTCACTGCTTTTTCAACAGCAGGAAAATAACGTAGAGAATCGCTACTAATAACTTTTTGAAGATGCTAAAAAATTTAAGGAATTGTATTAATATTTAACTCAGTAAGCAAATGAATTTGACTGTATACTATTATAAAATATATTATACTAACCTGTTTGTGTTTCACTAAATCCTCAATACAGAGATTATCTTTTATATAAAGAAGAACTGGAGGTGAATTTTCCAATGTTTTACGCAGGAAAAGATCAAATTCCTCGCTGGTACTCTTTAAAAAGGGATTCACTGCACTTGTTAAATCAGAATTAATTGACCCACCCCATAGCAATACAGGTACTGCATTATCAGCATGTGAGGGTGAAATTTGAAATACGTTTATAAATATAAAAATGAAACAGCAAATATTACAAAATTGTGTCATCATGTTCTTAGACAAACACAATTGGGCGAGTCGAATAGATATCGACACACTGCGTTCGAGCAGAAAGTAACAGAGCACCTGACTAGGCTAGGCTAGAATCATATGACAGACGTCACGTGATAACTTTGTTTCCGGATTTCAAATAAACCTTCATTTCGAATTAAACCAATCAATTTTATGAAATTGTTTATTGAACTGAGTGAAATGTAAAAAATTATTTCGCAGGCATACAAATTTTCGTCGCATTAGATTCCTTCAGTTCAATTCTTCTAGATTTCGTTAACTTTTTAATTCAAAATGGACAAAACTGAAGGAAAGCAAGAAACTGTCATGTATTCGGTTTGTACTCGTGCGGATTTAAGTAACAAACTACGTCATTAATTTATTATTTTAATATTAGCAACTGCAACCATGGTCCACCGTGGGTGTACCACCATGCATGGAACAAATTGCTGGTCCGCCGATACCGATTAGAGTTGGAGAATTCTACAAAACGCCAAAGCCACATTCTTGGCGCCCTACTTTAGGATATGAAATGATCGAAGCATCTCCTCTGTAAGAGTTTTCATTAAATTTCTTATATCTCAGTTTATTTTATTTAGAAATTATCCATTCTCTCATTTGTGATTATCGTAGGCCTGTACAGCCTGTGATAAATTTGCTCGCCAATACATGTTACATGCCAAAAGGAATGGCTACGGAACCGTTGCGATTTCCAAATCTAGTGACTGGTTTTGATAGAAATCCAGCGCATGCAGCACGAGCTGCACTTTTCACAAGATACGGACCGTACGAATGGGTGCAGAATCAACTAAAACTTTACAACGAATCGAATAGCAATAGGAATTTTTCTGAAAACTTACGACAGGATACTGTTCGAGCGATGCGGTAACCGATTGTAATATATTTTTTTTTAAATGATAAACGTCATATTAAACAACAACTAATCTAATTTTAGAGAGGCCAGTGAAAAAGTACAGAACGGCCAAACTGAAACTGGCCGTAAATTAGGAGAACGAATTACGGATACTACATTTTGGAGAAACGAGGTGACTTCAGAATTAGAGAGATTGATAATAGAAAATGCAAAAATGCAAGACTGCCGTCGAAATCTGCAGACTACGATACAAAGTTTAGAAGGTCAATTGCACATAGCGCAGGAATGCTTGTATTATCGCGAAGCTAGGACAGGTTTGCGATATTCATTTCTATAAATCAAAATCTTTTATGGATATTTTTATAAAGTATCTGATAATACTTAAAATGCATAAGTACAGGTGCTGATTTAGTACATGACCAAGCCGAGCATGCTCTTTTGAAAGAGGTGGAAGTAGTCAGAAATTGTGAAAATAAATTAGAACAATTTACGGATAAATGTGTTGATCAGGTAAGTATGAAACTATAATTTCTTGCCAATCACTGCAATCTTTTACTTTATATTTAGCTTACAAATAGTAGAGCAGTCCAAAATCAGCTAGAAATTGATATAAAGAATAAAGAAACTGCACTTGGAATTGATATTACATGTCACCAAATGAACAATTTCAGTCGAGGATTACAATATTACGGTGGTATTGAAAAATATGACCCCAGGTAAGTCCATGTCAATTGTAGTTTATGACCGTAATTTATGTTGTATATCTTAAGTGTCACAGAATCCGAATCATGGGCAGAAGCTTCCAATAACGTAGTAAAAACATCACAAAAGGAGCGAGAAAAATCTAGTCATTTACGAAACGATATAGAAATCGCAATAAATGCAGTTGGACATGAAATGTGGGAAGCATGGGCAGATACAAATGATGCATTAGCCAGAAGAGCTGCAGAAATGCTCGAAGCAAAAGAAAAATTACAAATACATTTACATAAAGTAATTAAAATTGTTTTGAGCTTTAAGTTTTTATTATCTAATTAATATATGTAACTATAGATCCAACAAGAAATCTTTGCAGTTGAAAAAGATTTGCAATTAATACAAAAAGCCATTACAGATAAAAGTTCTGCTCTTAAAGTTGCACATACTCGTTTAGAAAGTAGATCACATCGACCAGCTGCGGAATTGTGTAAAGATTATGCTCAACTCAGGTATAGTTAAGAAATTTATATAGAACTTAATGACAGCAACCTTAAACATTGAATTTTTATTTACACAGAATGATCGAGGAAGTAGAAACAATAAAATCAATGATACATGAAATGAATTTAAAATTACAAAGATTTGAAGCACAACAGCAACAACTTCTACGCACTAGATCTAATTTGGAAACTGATTTAAAATCCAAAATTGATTCATTATTTATTGATAGAGAAAAGTGTATGGGCATACGAAGAAGTTATCCGATAGCGTCAGTTATAAAATTTTGAATCATACATGTATCTAAATATAAATATATCAAAAGAATATTTATTTCTTCTGTTTATTTTTTTTTTTTTATATAATATCATACATACAAAATTCTACTGTTTCGTAAAAATATAGTAAAAATAGTGCTTTACTTTTTTAAGTATATCTTTTTTGTTTATTTATTAACAAAAAAAAATCATTGGTACTAAATCCAATAATACGAAAAATTACTTTTATTAACGAAATAAATCTAATATTTTTGATGTATAATAATATCACATTAATCATCTGATATAGAATTCAGATCTACCACCTAATTATAGATCAGATCTAGGATTTAACTATATATTTGTGCTATGAACTTCAAAACTATTCACGCAGAGTAATAAATTTTTAACTTATTTTTATTTTAATGTACAAAAAAATCAACATGTTCGCTGTCAGTATGTGACATATCATGAAGTCTAACATATATATATATGTTAGACTTCATGATATGTATATATATATTGCATCTAATGTGTTATATTAAAAAAAAAAAAAGAAATCCTGTTGATTAATGTAAAACGTTATATACTACAGTAGCGAACATGTTGAATACTTATTACTTGTAAATCACTATGTACGAAGCTTCTCATAAAGTTATTTATAAAAAATAGTACTTCTAGTTAAAATAATTTTTTTTCGTTTACATTCTCAGTCCATCTGAAAGCTGCTATTGTATCATAGAGTTTCATTATAGCTGATTCTGTATCATATTCGTCTTTCAGATAAAAAATTTTAATATTCTCTTCTGGATGACATTCCAAAACATTCCATTTTTCAAATAATTTCAGAGAATTTTTTATAGACTCAACAGATAAACTTTCATCTATTTCAAAATAAAATTGGTGATTATTTATAAAGCAATATATATATTTAACTGAGCTTGTATATATATCGGAAAATATATTTGCCATTACTTACAATAATTTATTATACCATGATCTATATTCGCTTTTATTTCATTAAAAATTTCACGAATTAAATCTTTCTCAATAAGTGACTGACCTATTAATTTCCTAAGAGAGAAAGCACTAAAAGTATAAACATCAACTAAAGGTTGCAACATTACATGAAAAAATTCCATATGTTTTATAATTTCTGGTGCTAAATTCAACTAGAAAAAATAATTAAATAATAGATTAAAACTCTGTTATTAAAATACATAATTAAACAACTTACTTTGTACTGAATATTTTTAGCCTTATTCTTATTATGATATTCTTCATCTGAACTATCGTCAAAATTTTTTGCATATCTTCTACTCCATAGTTCTTCTTCTAAATAACATTCCTATTAAACAATTTGAATGAATAACTTTTTAATAATGAAATTATTTGCGTCATATATACAATACCTCTTGTAAAATAATAAGTTCTTTATGTGAAAGGTTCACTATAGTATCTACAATAACACATTCTAAATCCTGACATGGTTTGCAGAAAATAAATTCGTATTTAAAAATATCACAAAGCTTAAGTGATTTCTTTATCAAAAGATCTTGAGACACTGTAATGTTGTTTTGAGCAATAGCTACAGGACCATTAATCTTTGATTGTAACTCAGCATACAAAGCAGTTACTGTAAATATAATAAACGAATTAATAAAGTGATAAATTAATTTAATTTAAGATATTAAAGTTTTAAAGTAAGTAAAACAGTATGTTTTCTTACCCACTATGCTATCTATAGCAAAACATGTTACCATTGTATTACTGTAATAAGACAGTTCGATTACATTCGGTAGAGATGACACAGGACGGATTACGGTAACAAAATTTGATTGAATTGGCTGACCATCAGCTGATTCTGTAATTTTTTGATTTTGCAGTTTTATTAAGCCTGGGCCTAAGATATCCAGCTAGAAAAATGAGCCCACATATATATTTTTTTATCTTAACAAAATATTTAATAACATAATTATGTTACTAACAGCATGATTTATAATATCAATACTTTCTCCACAAAATGCAATATTTTTATTACGGCTTTCTAACTCTTGTCTCATTAAGTCAAATGTTTCGATTAACTCGTCCATAGTACAACCATCTCGATGTATATATAAAAGTATGAATGCAACAACGTTGGTTGACATTACTGGTATTGCGTTACTACAATCTAAAAAATACTGTATATTAACACTGAACAAAACAACAAATTAATGTTTTTGAAAATATTTTATTCCTACCATATACAACGTGCCGCGCAAGACTATTAACAAGTTGACGGTATTCTTCTACAACTACATCTGTACCATGTAGCGATGAACTGGATATAGTAGATTTTAAAGGCTTTTCAACAGAAGATATTTTTATTCCATTCAATTTTGATTGATTTTGGAAAGAATTTAACATTTCCTTTTCATGAAATGATAAAATTGTACAATTAAGAAAATGTGAATTTAGCAATAAATGTCACGTGTCATATTAAAAAGCATTTGAATAACTGACCTTAAGCGAAAAGGGTTGACAAAAGTCAACTTTCATAATTCCATGATTTGTTAATAAAGTAGAAAATATGGCTTTCATTGTAGATATAAATGTTTCATTCTTTTTTGGTTCACCTAGCTGCTCTTTAACAAAATTTCCATCAATAATATGTTCATAATTTGGTACAACAGGTACTATCAACGCATCTTCAATAATTCCCTCCATGTATGCATTAAGAACAACACTTAAAATGCCACCTTTTGGCATACACGGTTTACCAGTTCTTGTACGTGTTCCTTCTATAAAGAACTCTATAATATGACCTTCTTCTAATTTTTTCAATATATACGTCTGAAGAACGGCACGGTAAAGAATATCTCTGCGGCCTATAACGGGATCAATTCGACGTTTTATAAAGAATGCACCCAAACCTTGCAAAAGCTTCCTATTTAGTACATAAAATTTAGTTAACAATAATACAGCATTATAATACGACTTATACACATCCAAATTATTGTTCATACCCAAAAAATGGCATTTTTAGATTATCACCAGCTGCAATTAATGGACATTTAATACCATATATTACATGAAGAAAGCTGATTATACAATAATCCATATGACTACGATGTAAAGGAAGTAATATCACAGGAAGACCAGTCTCATTTGCCTTTACTAACATTTCTATTTGAGATGGCAATACTACAACAGATTGCATAAAACATGGTAGCATTATATAAACAATCCATGCTACAATTTTAATGAAAAAATTGTTTGGTTTGCTTTCCATTTGTTGTAATATAGTTTTGGCTCTAATTTCTGCTTTTTCCAAAGCAATCGTTTCACTACAACCCTCATCCTTAATTATTTCACAAGCAACCAATTTAATTGCTTCTTTTAATCTTTCACTTTCTAAGATCTATATAAAATAGAAAAATTATGAATAAAATTTATATAAACAATTGAATAAACTTTTACTTCAGTAAATAGGATTATTCTTTGGTTTATAACTTACTGTTTTTCTTAATTTTGAATAATCATGTTCTTTAAAAGAACAAGTAGATATCGCACGAGGAAATATTCTAGACACTAGCGATCGGCGTGATTCCATTAACAAAATATTTGTACCAAGAGGTGAATATTGTTTGCTGATAGTACTTACTAATGAATTCTATAAGAAATAAAATTAAATGAGAAATATGTACTACATGGTCTATACGAAATATTTTTCCAATATTTTTTGTTTTCAATTATCACGCAATCTTAATAAATTAATTGTATAAATATATAGTATAATGAGTAATTTATAATTTTCGTGATAACTAACATTTAAAATATCGTTTGCAGTAATTTGAAAATATGGAAGATTTTATTCATATGTACTATGTTTATTCAGTTATAACAAAACATGATACAAATAATGAAAACATTCATTGCAACGCAAAAAATAAGATCTAATAAAATTTTACAAAAACTTACTCTAGATGATGGAGTACAATTTTTGCAACAATAGTGTAGGAGCAAAGATTTTTCTCTAATAGAAAGAGTAAATGGTTCAGATTCTTTGATTTCAAATAAAGAATCTTCCCGAACTTTTCTTGCTTGTTCCTTATCTCGCATCCTTCTTTTGTACATCTGTTGTCCAAACTGTCTAAGTTCTAAACCATTAATATTCAATTAAAATACTTTATCTTCTACCCTTAATAACAATTCTTTCATTTAAAACTTTTTACCTCGAATAAAAATCTTACCCTTTATCGAAAATGGGGTGGTATCCGATTCTGGATTTCGTTTTACTTCCGTTCGGCGATTCCATCTTGCATATACTTCTTGCAAACGTGTTGAAACTGTGTCGAGCATACTGTAAACCGTGTTATCATACAAGTATTGTTTGAATATAATACCTTTAGAAAGTATAAAAATATTTTCATTGTCCATGAAATGTATCAAATCTTAATTTACAGCAAATAAAAATCAGTATAACTTTTCAATAGATTCTTATGTTTAATATATTTAAATCTTATGTAGATATTGGGTTTTAATTGAATATTAATTTTACTGTATAAGATAAAATTTTACAGTATATTATTAAATTTCCAGAATTTTATACCTACTAAAGTTATATTGATTATAATTATAGCATAGTTTTTCATGTGACTTATATTAAAATAAAATTTAATACATTTGATGGAAAACATAGAACAAAGTGCGAAGCAACGCAATCAAATATCAGACGACACTGTGGTTTCTTTGAAAAATTATTTAACACAAACGTGCGTAAGTATTTTACTGAATGAAATCAAAGTAAAAATAGCATTATTTATTTTTATGATTAATATGTCGATCATGCATTTTAACAGAGGCAAGCCTGTAAGAGTACATAATTTCACGGAAGTTGGTTTTGAATGCAATCGTGTATTATTTACGCTCCATCTCCGACGCTTTTAACGGTTCGATACAGTCCAATGCAATCGCAACTAACGGATGAGATCTCCTTTTTTCAAATATATCATCTTAAATTCAATATTATATAGTTTTTTGATAGATAATTTAGCGATATATAAACAAAAATATATTAATGATTTATTTGAGATTGATTTATTTACAGAATAAGTAGCGAAAATAATAATTTAAAGGTATTGGTAAATTATCTAACATTTAAGACTTTAATTTATAATAATTTGAGAATTTATAGGTGTTAGTAAATCATCTAACATTTCAGATTAGAAATCATTATAATTCTTATTATTGCAGTAATACGGTAGCTCTCACAATCATAAATCAATATGTTCCAAAGAAGAAAAGCAAGAAAAAATTTACAAGGATGTGAAAACATATATTTTTTAAAAGAAAACTTTCTTTGGAATTTTTTTCACTCATCGAATTATGATATATCTTTTAAAACTGAAGCTATAAAATAAAATTTCGGGGATTTGTTTAATATTTTTCTCGTCATTATTTCTTTCATCGAAATTCTAAAATTTGAAAAAATTAAAATATTTATAACATTATTAAATTATTACTTGATCCTTAATTATGAAATTCTAGCTGAAAAAA